TTTTTAAAAAGGATTACAGGAGTACAGTAAAGACATTTATGAGTTTGTATCGCTCATTACACTATGAAAAGACCAAAAAAATGGTGTCATAAAAGTTCAAAAGTTAAATGAATATACATTATTCTAAAATAAACATCCTATCGACAATTAAAAATTCAAAACTTTTCGTACATTAAAATAACTTAATTCAAAAGTCAGATTTCAAGTAGTGAGGAAGATTTCTGCTTATTCAAAAATTTCCCACACAAACTGAGCTTCAAACTAGCCACTGAAAGTAAGTGGTGCTAGCTGCAATTGAATTTAGGGGAATTACTGAAATATTATTACAGAGAGATGTTCAAAATACTTTCTGTCTAAGGTCCATAGCTTTAATAGTAGCAGTTTCTGTTTCTAAACTGCAGAAACGAATTCAAGATATTGAGTAAAACTTTTATATGATAAACAACTTAATGTTAGTTTAGTGGACCACAATGAGAACTACTGGTTTTACCGGTAATTGTGTTATCCAATAAAGTCATTATTATTATTATTATTATTATTATTATAGTTCCAACATTTTTACCCAAAATCTAATCAGTGAGAATAACAATATTAGAAAATTATAATATAACAAGGATATTTAGGTCTCCAATTCGCAAAAATGTGACTCGAAATCTTTTGAAAAACTTCAGTTAAAGTCAGCTTTTGTGAGGATTAGTTGGTATGCCATTCTGAACCAAATGAGCTGTTGGTTACTGATCTCGGTAAATGTTGATTATCGTGCTATCTCGCACGTGTTTTCAAGTTTGCTTGACAATATTCTCACTCTTAGATCCATATCATCGAAAAAACCCCCTTAAATCCAAGCTAACGCATTTCAGATCAACTCACCAATCGCAGACGCAAGCTTAATACAACTGAGAAGAATAACTGCGTAACATAAACACGTCCTGAAAGCATCCATGCTGTTCTCCAACGACTGCAAGATCGACAAGCTCAACACCAGCAGTACAGTGTAAATAACTTACAAAAAGATTACACATATCAGCTGTAATAGAATACTGATTAAGCATTGCCTGTTTTCATTGGTGGAAAAAGGTCACGTGTAGAAGAATTTGATCGGTATGGAAAAATGCTCCCTCTTGAGTCCAAGAGGGAAAAAGTAGACATCTTTCCTGGATGTTTTGGATTTTTATGCCAATTTCCTAAGAAGTGTAGCATGTTTGACTTCTTCTTACAATATTACGCACTTGATGCCTTATCCCGAGGGAAACGGTCAGCTTTGTTCTCTGAGAGCTCTAGGGCCTAAGGAGTAACAAAACATTCTTTTGACCTGCAGTACGAGACATTGAGTACTTGACTAGACATAAAAACAATGATTAAAAAACAATCAACAATCGGTAAATTACAAGTAAAACGCATCCCTCTTTCTTCAAAGCTACCATCAGACAACTACTTGGGAAATTTAATAATACAAAACATTCACTGCATTCTGTACATTTGCTGATGAATTTGTATAAGAAATGACATCCGGTTTTTCCGAACAGAATGGAATAGTGCATTTTTTTTTCAACAGACCAGCTTAGATGCATAATGCTGCACTCAACACTGCACTGCACCGGTATCGCAGAGGTCATGGGTTAAAATCCCGTTCAAGCCTGAATTTTTTTAAGGTCTTATTTTCACTACTGCTAAGTTAGTGTTCATTACTGTAAAGATCACTTTCATATTCATTTCCATATATAATTTTCATATATTTACAGTCATGACGCTATTAGTTCCCCTGAATTCCAATATTAATTCTTCCTGCTGTTTGCCATATATTTCGTTCTATTTTAACTCTGAGAATTTAACATGAGATCAATCTATAGTTTCAAACTGATTGTTCTCGTTCTTCTCATAATCTTTCTGCTTGAAATACAGTGATATGGTCAGGAGAAATTATTAATTTTTTTTTTCTCCTGGGGTTGAGACTAGAACTGTAGCATGCAAAGTTTGCAACACAGATGTTGGCAAAAATAATTGAACTTCTGATTACTTTACAAAATAACTTCAAAATAACTTCGTTTCACCCTTTTACTTCCAAAAGTGATTAACATGTGATTTCTTCCAATAATATCCATACATTATCCAGCAAACAGTTGATGAGAATGCTCAAACTTATCATGAAGATTTTTTTTTTTTTGATTTACCACCAAACTCTTTTAAATAAGTGACACGGAAATACGTAGCTGCTAGAGAGTAGAATTAACAATGAGATCTTGGCAGTGAAAGGGTTAATCTGATTTTGACGCTATGTTTGTGAATCATAGTTGTGCGCAATCGTTTATTATTGTTGAATGGCATCCTAAATTCGCATGATCGCACGCGTGTAACACGAAGACACAGTGGCACAGCGGCAAAATGAGTGCGCATGCTCCATTACTCGAGTAATTTGAGCGTTCAGGGCTGCGATTGTTCTTCCGCAAACATAAGCTGACACGGGTTTTTCTGCTGAGACAACAGACTTTTTCAAGGGGTTTCTCATCTTAGGGGGCGATAACAAGAAGCGCTGAAGCGACAACAGATGTTACGAACTTCGTAGCCATGTTACGGCTGCTCAACTTCAGTCACTAAATTCACGCCTGTTACCGAAATACTTTATTTTGTTGAGTGAGATGTGTGACGGAGGAGGTTCGACAGAAACTTTCCTGAATACGGTTACCTTATCTGTTTTGGTTTGGACTTATTCCCACGAAATGAAGACAGGCGACGGGAATTTTAAAAATGCCGCAATTTTAGCTTGATAGTGTTACTATCGAAATTTTGTCGTTCCCATTCCTTTACAAGCGTAAATTTCTCGCGAGTTACAAGCATGCGGTTGTTTATGCATAGCGGCAATTTTAGAGCGCATGCTCAGATCACTTCACTAGATCACTTTAATCGTCAGGCTGTATCCCTTATTAGAAAGCGATGACAAGAAACGTCCTGGTAGTAACTAATCGTTGGTGGATCGTGTAAGAATCACTTTGTTATCAAGATGCATTTCACATGATAAGCTGAATAATACACACATTTTGATCGTTTCCTACCTATAATCTCGAAGTCAGACGCATAGATGACGTCACCACTGACAACATTTAATTTTGTTATCATATTGAAAAAAGTGGATTATATGTTGCCGTCGGTTTGGAAAGTAATAGATTACAGATGGCATCTAATTGTGGTAAAAAAAGCAACGACACACTTGGCTGCTCCTCGAATACCTCTTCTTCGTTCTTACCACATTTTGATGTCGTATGTCATCCATCACTAAACAGATGCATGAACACATAGAGCCTATCAGCCAACTTACTGAAAATTTAAATGACAGAGGAAGGTTCTGGGAAACTCTTAAGTAAAGCAAAATTGTATCTGTTAAATTTACCTCCAGCGAGATAAAAAAAAACAATAATAATAAAATAAAACGAATTTCAACTCTGTCATCATTTTCAGTCGGTGATCAAAGCTTGCTCATTCATTTTGCCTCCAATGTCGTCATACGCAATCAGGATGCGTAATATTGAATGACAAAAACAATAATAATAGTTGTACTTAAGATAATACTATTCGACAATCTTTGAAGAAAGGAAAAACCAATCATTAATGCAACTCAACTTGATGACGGAAATTAGTCACGATAGAAACTAATTATTCCAATATCAAAATCTGGTTTACGAGATAATTTTCCATAATTTTAGCCTCGTCACTCATAGAAGGCCAAACACTCGTGATATATACGTGTTTTCTTTCTCGATCGAGATATTTCAATTCTAAGAAAATTCTTACAATATCTAATTTAGAACTACTATAGTCTCATTAATACTGTAAAAATAGTAAATATTCTACTATAAAACTCTTCAAACGGAGGTAAAACTTTTGCTTATGATTATTTCAGAACAGTAAATTTCTGTAGCAAAGTTGAAAGATTAGAACTAGATCTCTGCACTATGGATAATTTAGAACTAGTGATTTTTGCACTAAGAAAACATAACAACATTACGCTGATCTACGATATCTAACTATGCTTAAATTGCCCACCCTTTCCCTAGATTTGGTTTGCAAAACCCTTCAGCGTGGCAAATAACATTTTGCAACGAATCTGCTAATTCAGTGATATATTGAAATTACACACATACCTTTTTTTCATGACTACTCTAGCAAACATCTTAAACGCTCTGGGAAATGAAAACCGTAATGGCAAGTTAACGAACTCGTACTGTCCTCACAAATGCTTTGTCACTTTGCTCCTGGCTTTCTTCTTAACAGTAATTTGTTTGATTAAGAGAAAGACCCAGAAACGTAAAACATACAGGAGTTTATGTGTTGTATTGACCTAATAATATTATGATTGTTTTATATTGGAGCCGGCTTCGCAAAGGAGTTTTCTATCTTATATCGAGAGATGGAAAAGCATTGCAGTGCTAAAGCAAAGCTATTTGACGAAATCGAGAGAAGCCTTTGATGTCAAGACATTTTAATTTCTGAATGTTTCCTAGCTTTTCCAAATGTTTTATCTACACAGTGCCACCAATCTAACTTTAATATGCCCGCAACTCGAACTAATAAAGCGTTTCATTGGCTCATCGACTGCAAAACCAACATAATTACAACAATACCGTGAAAAGGCTCGAAAGTGACGTGCAGTTAATTATAACTTGGGTTGTGATGTAATTCCATAATCACGTAATATTGTCACGTTCTACTGAAGAAAGTCAAACGGCTGCGTGTGTTGGCCATAAAAATTCAAGAATGGTCTTTGCCCTAATTTAATTATTGGACGTAAGATATATAAACCGCCCGAGGAGGCGTTGAAATATACGATTTTTACGCATTTAAACCGCGAAGTTGCGGCTGTTTTGAAGTTGATATCGAAATATCTCTCTCATGCGCTCGTTTATATCGATTGTATCAATCTGTATGAAATAATTAGGCATTTTAGAGTCCAGTCTCGTTGCTTCCATTAGCGAGACGTGTTGTCATCGAACAAGTGCTTGCTTCAATACAAAATATCGAGAAACTATACCGAGCGTTTTGACCTTCGTAGCTAGTTGCCTGTTTCCTGTCGTGTAAAACTTCCTTAACTGATAGAAAGTAAAGAAAACTATAATGGCGAATTTTGGAGCTTGTTTTTGCTATTCATGTGGGTTGAAGGTGACGTTTTTACTCGTCATATCTGCTGTGTGCAATGGTGAGTAGTATATCAATGATTCTATTTTCTGTACAGTTGACTTGTTTATGATAAACCAGTTCATGCATCCATGTTAATTCTTCCCACACAAGAAGGGAGGTAAGTTTCTAAAGAAACTGTGGTGCTGTGACGGTAGAGGATATTACAAGATAATTTGGTTTTAGCAACTGAGTTGATCATTTAAATTGGCCACCTTTAAGAGTTTGTAAAGCTGACGTTTCGAGCATTAGCCCTTCGTCGAAGCGAATATTCGAACGAAGGACTAACATACAAAATGTCAGCTTTAGAGACTATTTACTTTATCAACTCAGTAAGTAAAACCAAATTAAACTTTAAAATAGCTTGTTAAAAGATTCTCCGCAGCTCAGTCGGTACAGCATAAGAAACACGAATTCAGACCTGCCTTGAGTTCGAATCGTCACAGACGACTTACATCTCTCTTTGTCTACTATTATTGACAAATCTCAGTAACATCTTCATCAGTTGTTAGTATTTGTATATAGTTTAAACATTAAAAACAAAATTTTGAGACATGAAATCGGCTAAATAACCGCACAGAGGAAAAATTTACAGAAAGTAGTAAAGACTGTATTAACATGAAAGCTTCGTATGTTTACTGCTGAATTCTTGTTCGCGCGTGTCAAATATTTAAAATGTTGATCGAGTGTGATTCGCGTTTTATCTGCGTTCCGGAACTTTATTGAAACATCTTTAAAGTTCGTCTCGTTTATAGATGTAATTCTGGTTTTAGTAAATACTTAAAGATTAATTTCAGTCCTCAGTAAGTCTTAAACTAAAGAAGTAGAATCTCATACACACATACACACACACATACTATAAAACAGAAAGCAAGGATTACTTTTTAGGTGCTTTATACAACATTCCACGAAGAGAATGGATTGTAATCGGAGTTAGTCAGCCTTTTAATTTGATGACTCTCGGGTATAATTATTTCTTTAACAATTAAAGGATTTAAAATCTCGCAACTTAATTTTACTGCTTTTTGTTCTCTTATTAGGATAATGTTCAACGTTTATGTAGAAGGCAGATTAAACGAATATTTTTCTTTTCAACAACTTGATATAAGACAAGGCTTAAAATTTTGGTAAAACGTATATACAGGATGCTGTTTTTGTGTTTGACAAATGTTTTAGAGCTGATGTTGTGCGAGCATTTTCTTAGTATTGATTAACGAAGTCAATACCGTGTTAATTGCATAACATCGAATGCCAGTTTTCTTTCAAAAACCAAAAACCTTTCAAGATTAACCTTGATATGGTTTTTCTCTCGATTTAAATAGCTTCTCTATGGTACACAACACAACAGAGATAACGAAAAATTTTGAAGAATCCATGACAAAAAATTGCTTTAGTCTATTGTTTTTCATTTTTTTTAGCACAAAAAAATACTTCATGCATAAAATGCCACAACTAGTGGGTAGTAAGATCGTTTATGGGCGAGATTTAGACAGTCTGTCGACTGTTAAGCAACAATTAATGGTTACAGACAGTTTTAATATATTTTTGTATATTTGCTAGCCTACGAAAGTTCACATATGCAAAATTATCGAGCCCTGTACCACTATAGAACGATCTACCATTTGCTAGAATAATCACATCCATTTGCAAAAACCCTTGAAAACGCGTGCCGCACTAAAGAAGCTTCGCGATTAGTTCATTCATATAAAATTGCAAGACTACGTAATCTTGCTCAAGATTCCAACGTTTATAGAAATGATGAAATATGAATAAAATCATCTCTTAAAATAATTTTGAAATAATTGTGGGAGTTTATTTAGATCCTTAAAAGCATCCCATGAGGCATAGTGCCCTCTGATGCTTGGTTCTAACAGAATGAAGTATCCTTCAGCGACTTCAATGCCATGACCAAACATACTGGCATTCATTGAGTTAAAATGCACGTTTTGAATAAAACACGTTTAGTTAATTAGACCATATTTGTGGTTTGTAGATAGTATATTTCAAAGTATACAGTTTTATCGCGTATAATATTAAAGTAAATCATATTGACCCAAGAGTAACGATAACGGGCGAATTAATCCTCAGGAGAAAAACTTATTTTCGAAAAAAACTGAAAAAGAAAGAGGTAAATCTTGAAAGAAGAATCAAGGCAAAATATGACACTGGAACCCATGCCACGTACATCCAATTGGACCTTACTGCTAACTGTATTACGAAACCATTCTTAGATCTTGGTAATTTCATGTAAGTCTGGCCTTATACTCAATCTTTTTTTTACTTCTTCAATCAGAGGCGCTAATACTCGACGTGAATCTTACACGACAAGAAGTCACAACATTTCTTAGACAGCCGGTGAACCTTGGTTGCTATGCAACTACCACCTCAGCCGGCTCTATACTGGAGTATTATTGGACAAAAGACAACCAAACTGTCACGCAATCTCCAAATGTGCAAGCATTTGATGGCGTCTTGGTTGTAACACCGGAGAAAGATTCTGATTTTGGAACGTACGAGTGTAATGTTACCAACGGAATGTCCAGTGGTTTGTGCAGGATCTCGCTAGTACAAGTAACGAGTACACCGGGTAAGCATAGAGAATAACTTGAATTTTGTATAAAAACAAAAGGGCCTGGAGTGATTGGGATGAAGAAACCGAAAAATATGGAGCTCTTCTGGGCAACAGCGTATTCGCTATGTGAAGGCTCCATTTATTGTTTGCGTATACCCTAAAAACTAGCTACCGACAAGAACTGGAACGCGAAAAGTTGGAAGGGTTTTTGTAAGGAATACGTAAAGAAAACGAAAGCCAATCGCGATTTAGTCATCCGCGTCTTCCCGCGCTTTTATCAGTTTGCCTAGTTTTACTGTGAATTCCCACTGGCTAATTGTGATTACTTTGGTTTGGTTTTTCAACACCCAATCGAAAAATTATCCGAAAAAAATATTTTCTTAGCTTTCCAGTACTTGTGTCTAAGATTGTAGTCTCCTAATTCTATAGAAACTGGGATTGTAAGCTCCGGCTTTTTGCACCTTATCGTAATCATTCATTTATTTACCAGAGCATTTTCCAATTAATTGAAAGGTGACCCCACAACTGGCTGTGTGAACGTTTCAGTCCTGATGCCCGTTCTAGCAGTTGCAGTCTTTTCACTCTTGCTCTTCATTCATCTTGTCATCCAAGGCGCAAGAAGGCGATCACGTGATGAAGTGCTGTCCAAGAAAAGTGAGGATAGCAGTCTACATAGTCACGAGCATGTGCGCATGCGCGAAGGAAGCTGTGTCATCGAAGAACCCATTGAGTTGCACGTCAATCGGCGAGTCTCACGAACGGAAGAAAATGAAAGGATCCAAGAAAGCACTGTGACTCAATTTTGACCCCGAAAGACTTTCTCTATTTAGAGCCTGATCTCAAACTTCATTTTTAAAAGAAAAACTTAGAAACACGACCATTGGTGTTGAATCAATTTTGATAAAAGATCAAAGAAGAGTTATACCCGGCCAAGATGTGAAGTTGTAAAGTTGTGATATTGGTCAAGACAACTACATTCGGCTCTGCAGCGATAACGCTTCCTATATGAATGAACATGGAATAACAGGGTAATTTGGCATTATCAACTGAGTTGATAACGTAAATTGGTCACCGTAAAGAGATTCGAGCTGCCGTTTCGAGCCCTAGCCCTTCGTCAGAACAAAAGGAGGAACTGTGGAAGGCACACACGATCCAAATTACCAAATTACCCTGTTATACTCTCCCACCGACGCAGCGACACAGTTTCCTTCAAACTTAGCATAGCTTGACAGGAGAGGATGAACATGAGGCTGAACCCTTAAATAAACCTTAAAGGGAGAAGTATACTCTAGGAAATATTATTTTTTTCATTGCCGCCATTAAAAATGATTTATGATTTACTAAATGCTGCCCTGAAAGGCTCCTAAGAGTAAACGAACCCTTGATTATTGTCACAAATGTTCTATACATTCAACTGCTGAGGCACGTACGCCACCATTTTATAAAACAACTCAGAAACCTGGCCACACACGCATAGGCACAACAATCTGGTCAAAAACAGCCGCCTGCTCCGGTTAAATCTGGAATTCCTTTTCAAAAAAAGGTTCATGCAGATTAACGAGAGATGGTAAAACGAGGAGCAAGACTTTGCTACGTAACGGACGAGTGGCTAGGCTACTTTGCCAGCGCCCGCGGTTGAATAGCTTGCACATTTAAAAGGCTGGCTAATCTTTCTAAAATTAACGCGGTCAGCGTCATATTTTCATCCTTTGTAATAGTTGAGATGTAGATATGATGGTTTCTACAGCATACCTATTAAGTCATCATGTTTCTAGATTTCTGTTTTCGGAGATCACAAGAATCCCAGTGCAGCTTAAGAGCTCTCTCTCCCTCCCCTTCCGTATCTTTTCTGAAGTTATTATCCTAAGCGATACAAATCAAGCGGAAACAATCTCAAAAATGATTAAACTTCCACATTTTTTTAAAATTTAAGATCATCATTACTTTAATATAATATTGAGTCAGTGGATGAATGACAAGTGATAAGTCAAGATCTTTTTTATTAGAATATTGTACACTGGTAAAATGCTTTCCTTGTGTCATGTATATATTATTCTTTTAAAAAATTCTTGTACAAAATTAAATAGCTATGCATATTTTTCTTCTACTTCATGGATATGAAAGACTTTTTCATTGATTAAGTTTTATATGGTCTGCCAAAACGATTTCGCTAGAAATTATGGTGGAGGAATGTGTATTCCTGCATCTGCGCAAAATATTGGATCACGTACAAATTTATGAAGAGTGCGAAATGATACGATATGAAAGTTCATATAAAAGGCCTCTCCGTCCTTAAAAGTTATCTGGCGAACAAAATTAAGGAAGGGTATTGCATGAACTCTTCTGTAGAGGGACACCCCTTATCTTACCTTGGGAAAATGTAATAGGGAGCCGGGGAGATGGAACCGACAGAGTGTAAAGGGTACAAGGCAAAACCTCTTAAACTCACAAAATACCTATTTAAAAACGTACAGTGACCGAAATAAAGGTGACATGGCTTCATAAAATTTAAAAAAAATCAAATACCATTTTCAGACCTGAATATTTCAAAGGATTGTTCAGACGAACCCCATACTTTAAAAGAGAAACGTAACGGTTTGATTATGTCAAAAAACAAACAAACAAACAAACAAACAAATAAATCAAAACAAAACAAAACAAAAAACTTATCTAAAATATTTCAAGGTCTTCATTTACGTTCTGTGAAAATCTCTCCCATCCTTAGTTATCCTGAGTTTTTTCGTTCTTTTCTCACCTCTCTAGTTTTTTTTCACCCAACCAAACCGTTATTGTAAGGTGTCTTTCTATTCAAAGGCTATTGTTAATGGTGTCATTTCGTAGCTCCTTTCAGACGAATTTTGTTTTCAAATCATACAGCGGTTTAACGTCGGGCATGCGCAAGTGGGGCAATTTGAGCCAGTCGCGTGCCATTTTCCCGCGCAAAAATTTTTTAAAAAGGAAAAAATATTAAGCAACCGATGTCACGCAAGAGTTATGAAAAAATACATCAAATTCTCACGCTAACGTTTAAACTTAGTACTAACATTAGTGGGGTATTATCATTAGATGGTTTATCATTTATCATTTTAATTTGAGGTTGACTAAAGATTGTGCACGCTCAAATCACCGGCGTTGTTTATACCTAATTTTTGTATCAGTTATATGATGTGTGACGGCGTCTCTTTGCGGTTTTAACACTCAAACATGCGCAGACGTTTGACCGCTGTGTTTGTTTAAACGATCGTCGCATGATTCATATACTCTGCCTAACATGCACCCAAACCGGTTTTATCATTTCACAACTGGTTCATCGTCGGCGTCTTCTTTCTCTTCAAAATCCATCCTCTCCATGTAATGACTAACAAGTGGCATTTCAGAGTCAAGGCTCTCTCGTCCACTAGCATCGCCATCTGTTTCGTCACCCGGGACGAAGAAATCTGCAAACCTTGGTGTCTCTTCTGCATCAATTGGGATGCGGTTAGGATCTGACAGGACAGGCGCAGTCTCATCGTTTGTTTCGTCACCAGAAACAAAGAAATCTGCAATCCTTGGCGTATTATCCATATCAACTGGGATGAGGTTTAGATTTGAAGGAGCATGCGCAGTCTCAACGTTTGTTTCGTCGGCAGCTCTGATGTCTGCCACGCTCGGAATGTCATGAATTTCCTGCATTTCAATGGTTTCTTGTCTGTTTTTCTCCTGTGTATCTTTTTCGCAAAGAATGTCCGTATGGTTTTTGTCTTCAATATGTTGGTTATTTTCAGAGTGTTCAGTAGGACGATGTTTCCTAAATCGCTCGCGGAAAGGCTTCTTTTTCTTTACTTCAACGTGTTCTTCACTTTTCTCTTCAACTGGTACAGACTGTTGGGATAGTTGAAGCTGCATGATCGCCTCTTCAGACAACGCCCATTCATCTCTTCGCTTCCAACGAATTAGAAAATGAGCATTCAGTAGCATAGAAACGACAGTCACTGCTAAAACCGGCATGAGAACGGCAATAATACCACAGCCAGCACTGTTTTCCTCCACATGGTCTAAAACATGACAACACAAAAGCGCAAGATCAAAAACGAAAACCAGCTTTATGACGATCATGCAGTGAATAGCACGAAATATAACCTTTAAATTCCTTTTTTGTTCAAGGAAGATGAAAAATGGAAATTGCTCACAAGCTACCCACAAGTACCCACAAGTCGGAAAATTGCCAAAGTTTAGCTGAACACGAATCAATGGCGGGTTTAGTTTCTAAGGAAACTGTGGAATGGAAGGGTGGGGGGGGGGAAGGGTCATTACGAGAAAATCTGGTTTTATCAACTGAGTTGATAATGTAAATTGGCCACCATGAAGAGTTTCTAAAGCTGATGTTTCGAACGTTAGCTTTGTCACTAAGTTAGTAAAACACGGTCAGCAGTGAAACTCTAGGTGACGCGGTGATCTGGGTTCCAGCCTTAGCCAGGAACGTTGTGTTGCATAACCTTTGATAGGCCTGCGTCTCTTCATTATGATTTGCAATTCGTGTACGTTTTCCTAACATCAGGCCAAAAAAACGCAGAAAAAGCGTCTGTCTCAAAAGCCACTTTACACTTGATGAAAATATTAAACATTGAAATATGACCCACTTTCGTGCATTTCACCATCAACTTTACAAACTATTTACTAGGAACATCACTTACTTCTGTTGTTACACCCCGCATTCAGTGAAATACTGCATTTCGTTACTGTCATGTTATCACTAACGTGACACTCATACGTTCCAAAGTCTGCATCATCCTCAGGAGTTACCACCAGCACGTTTCTATAGACTCGTGTGTTTGAGGATTGTGAGACAGTCAGATTATCTTTCGTCCAAGAAAATGTCAAATGCACTGAGCTCATTTGGTTGACATAGCAACCAAGGTTTACTGGTTCACCAATACAGGTTGTGATTTCCTGACGTGTCAGATTCACGTCTAGGGTTAGTCCTGCAAACCAGATAAGTTAATTAGCTACTAAGCCTTTCCCACAAGCCCTCATTGCTCGCGCTGCAAGACGCTCGTTTCCCCGCTTTCGGGAAGATTTGAGACGGATCGGGGGAGAGGTTTGCCGGGAGTCTGGCACTAATCAAGTTATTAGTGCCAGACCCCTTGCACAACTCTCGCCGACTCGCGTTGCTCAAGGCGAGAGAGGTTAGAATTAACCTCTCTCCGCTCTATCTCATACCTTCCCTCTGGCGAAGTATTGCTCGTGTGAAAGCGTCTATACTAAGGACCTACTTGCAGGCCACTAAAACACTAAAATGATGAACCTTAAAGCAAATCGTTGATCGTTAATTTACTTATGCAATCAGATAACAGCAAGGATTTCATTGAATTCTTAGATTCGTTCATTACAATTCTACAGTTCGTTACAAATAAACAAGAAAACATAGCTCTAAATGGCTCTACTCTCTCTTCTTGAAATATTAGAACATGATAAATTAATTTATCCATCATTTCTTCCCTTCCTTACTTTTTTAAATAATTTTTATAACTTAAATGTAAATAAAAAAACAAATTGTTTTTGTTGTTGTTGTAGTGGTTGAAATAACATTAATCCGTGATAACGATGAAAATAATGTAACTTCACAAAAAATTATTCATTTGACACTTACCTACACAATATCGTCTGTAAGCGATTTATTAGAGTTATAAAGATTTCTCTGAGAGCTCAAATGATTGTTAAACTCTTAAACATATAGTTTAAAAGTGCTTGCCAAAAATATCAGGTAAAATGACCTGGAAAAATAGCATTTACACCCACTGCATTTCCAGTGTAAAAGTTTGTCATAAATAGGGTCTGGTTCAAACATGCAAATGAAAAAATCCGCTAAAAGAACTGTGGTTGTTTTCTTCGTAGTTTGCATGTAAATTGGCAAAGATTCCAAGTTGTTCTTATCAAATGAAAGTTGCTCGATTATGTCGTTCATGAATTGGTAATGAGGTCGACTTATTTGTGGCGACAAAAAGTCGAAACAAATCCGTGAATAAATAATATAAACATGTATTAACTTCTCCAAACGAGCACTTGATATTGTATTCAAACGGGTTTGTAAACAGCTTAGGTTGCCTCTCACGTGACGTACTACGTGCACAGATAATGATCTAATATTAGTCATGAACAACTCGTAAAGGCTACGAGACTATTAATAGAACATATCTTTGTTCTAATAACCCTTCATACTGCTTTCATAACATAAGAGTGAACATACAGCAGATCACATATTTTTTGACATTGATAAACCTGCGATCGTTTACAATAAAGCATCGATCGATATTTGCGTTTCTAATTCGGTTGTGAGGAAACACGATCTGGACGCGAAAATATTTTAAAATTTACCTTTTAAATATGGCTGAAGATCAGTTGCAGAAAGAAAAATATTTCTACGCTTACTACTCACCCATTGGAACAGCAAAGTTTACAAAAAGGAGTAATCCTTGCAGTGCACAACGCAGGCACGTTCTATAAACCGCCATGTTGGTTTTTTTGTAATCCGTGAATTAAGGCAAATGTGTCCTAAAATGCTTTTCAGAACAAAAGTCCCATCGTGATGATCAAATTTATCCTTGTCTTGTCACTTATGATAAATTAAATAGTTAAAAACGGCCGATTCAGCTGAGTTAAAACAGTTTCGAAACTGACATCCACTGTTTCCTACGAACAACTTACAACAACGTTGCGTGACATACTTATTCGGCCCAGTTTCTCGTGTCGTCATAAGTCACGCTTGACAGGAAGACAATCGCACAAGTTCAAAGCGCTTCCTGTCTCCCGCCATCTCCCGTATGCTCACCAATATAATATTGTTTTTCGTTTTGCCGCAGCTGGACTAAGAGAAATGTTGAAATTTCATTCATAATAACTGACGCCACACGCATCAAAGGCAATGCCAAAACAGCTGTCCAAAGTTGCTAATAAAACAACAATAGGGGACCTTTAGCAAACTATGACAGCGACGGCAACGAGGACTTGGCAAAACAAAAGATCTAATGAACAGAACAATAGCTCAGCACGTGAGTCTTAAAACTGTGAACATTTCCTAACCGTCCTTTGCACAACGACAACGTGAAATCAACAGAATTTGCGTGGTCCGATAAAGAAAACCCCGACGGCAGATTATTTAACTTAACTGGTTTCCATTTGGAACTCAACGCCGCTCTCATACGTTATGCTGAGGTTAACTTGTGGCGCCATAAGAGATGGTAAGCACATCCAGTCATTCGAGAAATTCCAACTAAAAATATGTATTCATTTTTAATCGACGTTTTCCTTGGCGCTGCCGTCCTAACTGCTAAAGGTCCCAGATCTGAACAATCACGCGAGCGTGTGAGCGGGTTAAGACAAACTGTCAACCCGCTAAAATCTTCAGTTTAGTCTGCAAAATGCGCCACAATTCCTGGCAGAGTCATACTAATGGATAGGCCTTAGTATTTTGGTTAACTTGGAGTCAAGAAAGATAAGAACAAAGCTTTTGCGTAAACTCAATTTATTTTCTGTGTCATAATTATGACTAGCATCTGCGGTAACCTCCAAAACAAATCCATATTTGGCATCTATTTTTAATCTGTGAAAGTCTTTTTTTTTTTTTTTAATCAATTAGAGCAAAGATCTCACGCACCTTTTACTAATGTTTAATCAATTATTTTAGCTGGTCAGTTTGTCGAGGAGACATATTACCATATAGACAAGTCTTTGAATCTAACGGTGGCTATAAGTTTGTCGTGAGTGCTCTGTCTTTGAGGTAAGTAACCAAAACTGCTCGAATAATCTATTCGTGTCGATACATTGAAGAAATCAAAGGATTGGGAAAAAAAAATCAGCGTAGCTTAAACTCGTCTCCAAGACTTACCAAATAATTCAGCGAATTTTTTTTCCTTACAAAAATATGGGAGATGGGAGAGGACCAAAAAATTAATTACCAAAGGAGTAGTTCCAACAAACTCTATAAATATTAGGGTTAACATCAAGACTGTTTTTTTTCTTCTTTTTTCCTTTATTTATTGCTTTATTTCTTTTCTCTTTTTCTTTCGCTTTTTTTGGTTCTGCTAAGTAACGAAAATATGCGAGTTTCTAGAATGTAAGATTCAGTACAAGCCAAGGGGCTATAATTACTAACTGAATGCATTGACAACTCGTGATGAATTATGGTTATGATTTCTTTCTACTTGTTGTGTCTCTCGAGAAATTTAAATGCATCGAATTTCAATTTATATGCTAAAAGGGTAGTTTGCAACTTTTTATCAATTATATAGATACCGGCTTTTATGTGGTTTTATTGCGACCCTCAAAATCTCAAACTGATACCACTTTGAGAGTGTTTCGTGCAATCCCAGCTGTGGTCGCTAGACGGAAGCGACTCCTTTTTTTTTTCCTGGAGGGGGGGGTGGAGCTAGAGGGTGGTGTAAACTAGATTTATCATTTATTTTCCATCGGAAGTTTATAAGAAACGGCATGGGAAAGTAGGACTTCTAGTCTCCAAGAAGACATTAAATTCTAATGTAAACATTCTTATCATGATCACGATTGTAATTCATGGGCAGGCGTCATTCACAACCCTCCTGAGGATGTTACGCGACTGGTTCAAGTTTATGTTTTCCATTCCTCGTCACGAGCCAATGAGTAAAACGGAAAAGTTCGTTCAGTGGTCATCTTTATTAGTCTACTGCTTAGGCGGCCTCACATTTCTGGCAGTGCCCAAGCTCTATGGCATCATATTGAACGTAGAATACACCGGTCGTTCTGAAGGTTACGTACGCCTGGTCGGCCTTGGAGTTGTAGAAATTGGATTTCTTTTCATAATCTTGGCACGTTCCACTGTAAGAATACATCGCTATGGAACCATTTTGGCTTCTGTTGTTAGCCGTCTCGTTTGGGTGCCAGCGACGGGGCTCATGTTCATCCTCAGAAATATGGTCCCTTTCACGTTCGCGTTAGTCTTCATGGGCTTGGATGTGTTGCTTTCCCTGAGCACCCTGTTTATATGGTGCCGGGAAAGGGATGGTTCCTCACTGGGAGACTTCTTAAAAGAGCTCCTGGCTCCATTTCGAGAATGTCACGGGATGAAAGTAGGAGGAACCATTACAGCCGTGTTTTTTGTGGGCCTCATTCAAACAATCTTTTGGTACGTGTTAGCGGTGAGACCCGATTTTGCTCATAAAATGTTTGTTCTCGATAATTTGGATGGGCTCGCTGGTGGCTATCTAGCAGCGTTCCTTTATCTGATTTCCATTCATGGCCTGTACCACGTCCTTTGCGCCAATAATTTGAATCATCCCTTCGCTCTAGCCACAGTTAGCTATCGAGTTCTTTTGGATACTCCAGTCTCTCTTGTCTTGCTTCTTGTTGATCAGATAGAAAGAAATCTCTTTCTCACGATTATGAGCTTCAACATGTTCATCTCCACCATCTTTTTGGCGTTTCTGTCACGTGAAAGACTTACCATTACAAACACCAGAGAAGACCCACCCGATGTGCAAGTTCCCACCGTTACGGAAGACAATTAAACTACCATGACTACTTAGTATGATAAAGGGGGTAAGTTTCTAAAGAAACTGTGGTGCTGTGTCGATGAGAGTATAACAGGGTAATTAAGTATTATCAACTGGGTTGATAACGTAAGTTGGCCACCAAAAAGAGTTTCAAAGCTGACGTTCGAGCGTTAGCCTTTCGAAACGTCAACTTTTAAACTCTTTACGGTGGCCAATTTACGTTATCAATTCAGTTGATTATACTGAAATTAGGTAGTATGATAACTCAATAACTCGAACTTTCGGTCTTTCCTCTCAAATCATTTCATGTATAAATTTACCCTTGACGACTCAAACCGTTTTTGTCAATTTAAGTAAAATCGAAGAAAAAGTATTTGTAGTCATAAGCAAAAACCTGAAGCAAAACATGAAAACTATGTAAGCGGGCAGTGATTTTCAATAACTTGCGGGGGGGAGGGAGATCGTAGGATTTTAATTGGGAACAAAGGGGGAACAGTCGTCTCCAATTAAACTAAGTTTAAAAGAGAGTAACAACTAATTGACTGCTTATGAGGTTGGATCACTAGAATACTACAGAGTCTTGTGGGGGATCTGGTAACTTTTATTGTGACACAACCAAAGTCCTCTGACGCCCCTCCATCCCACCCCACCCTTCCCCCCCCCCACCCCCCCCCCCGTGCCTAAAAAAAGACTGGTCCCTAAATCACTAAGAAGCGAGCGACAACAATTAATTCCATATAGTTTAGTTTACATATTTATTACAAGAACTGATCAAATTACAAGTTTTATTACATGCTGCGATTAAAAAAATGCTTTATATTTAAAACTGTGTTCAGGTGGAACACATTTATTGAATAAAAACCACGTTTGGTTTAGTTCCAGTGACCTCCATCTTAGCACGCCAAAGAAGCAACTGAATTACAACATAAACTACTGCAGGTCTTGAGTAATTTGACTGCATTTAGCTTCAGTTTGACGAGAGAGGAGCCTGTATAAGATAAAAGATGATATTTATAGCTCAACTGAACTCTAAAAACGAGAGAATATGAGAGGTGTCTACTTCAACCTCGATGTCAACTTCAAGGTACACTCTTGACATGATTGGCTCATTAGTCAGATCACTAATGTCGCTCGTGAATACAAAAAAAGATAATATAAAATTCGAAAAAAAAACACATACCGAGGAGGGAAAGAAAGGAAAATTGCAGCAGAAATTAAATACACCTTCCGCGCCACTCGATAGCGACCTCCATATTTAGGATATATGACTTTCGCTAAAGAGACTTGACACTTTTGGTTAAAATTTCTTATCCGCCCCCTCCTGACTCGGACGACGGTCAGGTGTCCGTGAGTGGGGAATGTTGAAGCTTCGAATTGACTGGCGCATGATACTTACAAGTTTTGTGTTATTTCTCCTTCGTTTCGCAAAAGCTGCTTTCTCTATTGGGTCACTTGGCTCTTCAGCCTCAGTCAACGCCTTGAGTTGCACCTCCCACTCAAGAAAGTGCCCATCTTTACTTCCTTGCTCAGTTTTATGCTGTCTCAGAGAACTGGTTCTTCTACTCCTTTTTCTGCCCCCTGTTATAATCTCATCGTCTACGATTGAGTCTCTTTGAATTGTCTCATAAAAAGAGCTTACACTGCCTCCCCATACACGATAGGGCTTGTACTCAACTGTAGTAATACTAGTTCTGGTGCGAATGGGAGGTAAAACTTTAACTTCTTTAATAGCAGGAATGCTTGGTTCTTCGGTCTCTACGCATGCGGACGGCTTTGCATCCATATGGTTTTTCTCTTTGCTTCCGAAGTCATTTTTTTCCTTCTCACAAGACTCACTGTCATCGTGATTCCCTTTTCTGTTCCTTTTCCTAACTGAGGTCAAACAGGGCTGCACTCGGGAAAGAACTTCATCTTGATAACGCGAGCAAGTGCTTTTAAAACGAGAGCAGGTAACTCCCATGTTGAGTAGGAGAAACTTGAAAACCATTGCATCGTAAACAAACACGTCAAACAAACGAATGAGGTCATGGAAATGATCTCTAGCCATTTTGACGTCACCATTCTGGATTGAAAACTTAGCTTCTCTTGTTCCGCCTTTTTTTTTTTAACTTGACTTGCTCCGTTTAAGTCGCATTACCGAGATGGGTTGGTCAGCTATGGGTGTAATTAACGAAAACCATTCAATGAAAGTAAGCAGAGGATTTCCTTATGTTTAGGCATATTTTATGTTTTTAGCATATGTCATCACTACGTTTCAACAGCTCGCCAAAAGAATATGGGCATTTGGAGTCGAATCTCGGAACTCAGTTTAATTTGGAGTCAGACAGCAAGAGGAATTTATTATTACTCGCCAAATGTGTAAATACGAATCCTTCCTAAAGATTGGTGAAAAGTCTCCGGCCGTAGATAATTTCGCAATTTACCTCTGCGCGCGCAGCTTCGGGTTGTTCGTACGCCTGCGTGATTTGTGCACGATCTCGAGTCGGTCCAAGCAGTATTTGAGCAAAATATTTCGGTTTTCATATCAAGCACGAAAAAGTCAACGATTTCACGAAAAAAAATTCAATCTGTGTGAATTTCTTGAATTTTCATCAACCCTTTGAACACATAACCTGTCACCGTTTTGCAGGACCATTGTGATTCTTATCTAACATCTTTTCGGAAAATTGGCTAAAATGACGTTCTGCATTACGTGATCCACATTTCTACACACGTAGGGTGAATGCGGCGATCTACATATTACCTCACCCGAACACCATCAACAGGGACAGTGGAATAGAAATCCTAGATGCTCGGTTGTGGACGATCAAGAAACACAACAGCAGGAGAGCCGTGCGCAGAGGGAACCTAATTCGGAGATGTACCAATCACTGCTGTGGAATTCCAGCCAATCACAGCTAAGCATGAGAGTACATATGTAACGCGCACTCAGTCACCTTTATGAAGTTACAGTGTTCATCTTATTTAAATTAAGTGAAATGTAACCAAGATTCTGATAATTCTAACCTGTTCCAATAAATATAATCGAGTCCCTAAAAACATACACCGTAAAGAGGGGAGATGACCATTATTTCTGAAGTCATCTAAATATTATTTGTTAATCGAGACGGCAAGTCAGTTGGGGTAAATTTTAATTTTAAATTAATTAAACTCGATTTAATTAAAATTGACGAAAGCAATCTGGGGATTTTTTTTTTCGCTATGTGATTGTTTCAGAAAACTCGCACCACTTTCTTGACCAATTCGATGCAAAACTAACACCAAGCACGAATTGGTCGTCCATGTTTTCATGCGTTCTAAGCGGTTTTCTTGGTTGTTATTTCTTACAAAGTAAAATTTAACCGCAAACCATATTTACATACATACATACATACATACATACATACTTTATTTATTCCAGAAGCAGATGATAACTATTATATACAAATAAAACTAAAAGGAAAATACTTCTAGAAAAGGAAGTTAAGAGGTTATCCCTGTGTAAAAACTCCCTTAAAAGAAAAGACAAAATATAAATCAAAATCATTACAATCAAATATTTAAGTACGATTTAAGTTTAGATTTAAAATGCTGAAAACTGTCAGCTTCCACTATATCACCCGGTAACTCGTTCCATAATTTGACAATCCTAATAAAAAAACAAATTTTTGTAACAATTAAGTTCGGTTTAATATAGAGTTTGTATTGATGATTTGCTTGGTCGTGGCAATATCAAAGAAGTCATCCAAAATTCTGATAAAAACCAAAAACTATCTTATAACATTCGACTAAAGATAAGTAAGTTCTACGGTCAGAGAGAGTGGGCCATTTTAACAGTTTGCATCGGTCTTCATAGGACAACGAGCGTAGTACTTCAGTGGTTTTACAGACGAACGTAATGTCATCGCCGTGAGGTGATGTCTTTCAGCAAGTTACAGGGAAGATAAACCTTTTACGTTAGCGAAATTCGTTCTTGTTTTGACCGGTTCAGCCTCTGGAAACAAGGATTGAGAACTTGCCGATCCAATCTCAATAGTATGGCTTTCCTTGGGAAACAGGAAGCACAAATTCCATCTTGGAAACCTCAACAAGCGTTCGTTCCTTCACGTTGTCCCTTTTCCGGTTGCTTGGTACACTTCATCCATCAATTCTCTCACGGCAAAATTGTAAAAATGTTTGTTCACCCGTTTAACGTTTTCTAATTCCTCTTCAAGTTCCCGTCGCGAAAGTTGTCTCTTTCCTGTTGTTGCAGTTCCTTGCCCTTCAAACTCTGCGACCTGCAGGAGTAGAAAAACTGGAATTAGCGTCATCTTCGGATTTATTCGAGCAATTATCGATCGAGTGTCTGTTATGAATGTAACAGGAGAAGAAGGTGAAGTAGGAAATGTCGTACCTCGGCAAGCAGAGGTAGCGCAACACTGTCCCCAAATCTTTTCCTTTTTTCCGAACTACTTTCCTGTTTGAAAATCAAAATAAAAATATTAAGTTCAAAGTCTCATAGCTAACGTAAAGAAATGCATCTAAATCACTGGGTATAATTTACAATCCAGGTCTCAAGTCCACACCTCGCTTATTTTTCCCTTCAGCGTCATAAGAATAGCGTCAGAGTTGGAATCGCCATCACTTGTTCCCGCGGGACCGGCGACGTGTTTTTCACGTGATCGATTCGGTACATGCACGTGCCGTTTTAGAGGCTGGATCGGAGCAAGGGATGATTTCGGAGATGGGTTTTCCAGGTGTAAAGGTTTTGGAATTATCTGAGAGTTGGTCACTGCACCTGTTCACAAAGAATCAAGTATATCAACGTGAAAAATTTAACCCTTTAACTCCCAAAATCTGATTGTTAATTCTCCCCTCTAGCTGCTACACATTTTCTTGTAAATCACCCACGAGAATTTGGTGTCAGATCAAGATAACAACTTCTAGCTGATAAGTATGAGTATTCTCATTACCTGTTTGCTGGATAATGTACGGATATTATGGGGAGAGGCTACACATTAATCACTTCTGAGAGTGAAATGGTTAAGCTTACCTTTGTGGTTGACAACTCTGAGACACTGCCTACTAGGAACATGCCAAACACGAGCAGTCTGGTCTTGAGAGCCAGACAATAACAGAGTTCCATCCATAGAAACTGCTAAACTGTTGACTTGTTTACTGAATAGAGATAAATACAATAGTCATTCACACAAAGTTTTCAACATTTTGAACCTAACACTGTGCAGGAGGTGTGTCACATATGAACCTGGTCTGGGAACAGCCAGGGTCACTGTAGAGTCTCTGTGGCTCAGTGGTAGAGAAAAAGAGTGAAAAATCTGAAGATTTGTGGTTCCTTTCCTAGTGGAAACTCATATCACTTTTCTTTGACCCATGCTTGTAACAAGACAAAAAACACTTTTCTGAACAACAGTCATTAAAATTATTATTTTTGGTTACCATCAAACAAGACAAAAACATATTCCTTTACAAGAAAGATGAGCCATCTAAAAATTGCCTTGCTCTCCAACATATTGATTCATAGCTCAGTTGGTCCACCTTCCAGCATATTGGGCTTGAGATTAAGAGGTTAAAGGTCAAGTTTGGCTAAAATCGTCCATTCAAGTTCTGAGAACCTGGAAAATATTAACCCTTTAAAACCAATGAGTGACCAAGACAGAATTTCTCCTTACAATATTAATGCAATATCAAACAGAAAAGTGATGAGGATAAAGAAAAATATCAATTAGGGGATGATCAGTTGATGCAACACCAAAATCTCTGGACTAGCATCTTAAGAATTGAATGGCAGATGGTAAGGAGAATTACTTAAAAGATCTTTGGAGTACACGGGTTAAAATAATTATTGGATCATCAGATGCTTGAGAATATTACCTATGACCATTGAAGATGAGGGCTTCTTCTTTCTCCAAGTGAATGTTATTCTTCATCCCCTGTATTTCAAGATGGAAAAATATTAAGTGGTACTGAACAAATGGCATGAAAGATAAAATCAGCACATAACCTTGATGCTGTAAATAGAAGCTGATAGGGGCCAGGAAACCCTCAGCTGTCGGACCATTCTGTTCCAGCATCAGCAAAATCATGGAGGTTGTTCAATGCATGACTCGCAGATTTTAGTTCATAAAAGAGGAAAGTAAAGGCTACTCTGAAAAATTACTTTATGCTTACCCTTCTAAAAAGCTCTACTTGGTAGATGTTGCCATCTGTTCCTCCTGCAAAGCAGTTCTGTTCCGCAGCATCCATTGTCACAGCTGCTACTCCAACATCAAACACAAATGAACACAAAAGTTCACCAGAACTCAGGCTGTACAACTATGAAAAAAAAAAAAATGGGACAAGTGTGGAAGACTTCATGGCCAATAGTCATGGAAGATGGGCTCTGGATAAGGGGGTCTGGGTTTAAGGCTTTACACCCTAATGTCAGTATGCATATTCTCCATACAGTTCTCTAAACATTTCCTGTGATATTGACAAGGAGAATTTGTTTAATGATCCAGAATTTTTTAAGTTTTCTATCATTTCCATTTTTCTCATGACACTGCACAGCCTTAATGCCTGCAGGTTTTTTTTGCTAGTCTTAATGGCTAGCTTCAACACTCCTTGCAAAGAAACTGTGACAAGCTCAAGTAAATGTACCATGTAGCTAGTCTCTTATCCAAACATTTTTCCTTTTTTGTGGCAAATTGCAGTTATTTACATCACACCACTTATATCCGTCACTCATCAATCTCAGTTAAAAATTTAAATTTTAGTTATAAACCAATACACCAGTGACATACATTCAACCAAGGCTGATAATACCATTGCTATCACTTACCTTACAAGTTTGATCAAGGGATGCAGTGATCACATGACCTCTCATGCCCCCACATCCACAATGGATATCAGTGACAGGAAGGGCATGATCAGACCATGTGTACCTTGGAGTTCGTATTTCATCTGAAGTTCCTACGCTGTTTGATGAACCCGACAAAATCCTGAAAAAGATCATAAAAATTCAACAAAATGTAAAAGTATTAATAATATTTCATTTTTAAATGTGAAGATGCCTGTGTCATATTCTTCAAAATTGCATTTTTCAGCCTTTTTCCCCAACCCTCCTGAAAAATGCGGCTTGCAGGCTGCCATTAAAGATCTTTTTCAAGCAGCAAAAGAACTTTTTTTTTCTGTGGGGAATTTACTATTGAAATATTTGAAATTAAAGATATCTGAAATTGAAGACTTTTGTCAAGGTACATGTATGTGGGGCTTAATCAACTACCGGTACGTATAGGTAATCGTATGAATGCAAGTGCATTTCGTGATTTATGGGCACGAGTGATGTTTTGAAAGTTCTCAAAATTGCACGAGCCGTACGTGAGTGCAATTTGAGAACTTTCAAAACATCACGAGTGACCATAAATCACGAAATGCACAAGCAGGTTCATACAATTTTTTATTTATTATATTCTCGACAAAATTACTCCATCTGTGTTTCCATGGCAACTTCTCCGTATTGCACTCTATAACCTTTATTGCACTCTGTAACCTATTTATGCATTCATCATTGACCAATCAGAAACGCAATATTTTGTTGAGTATATAATAAATTAAGTTATACAAAATTCTCTGAACTGAAATTATAAGCAATGTATTGAAGACAGTGTAGCAGATTTCCAAAAACATCTTGCAAGTGAAATGGTTGAGGTTCTGTAGGAAGAAGTTCTAGAGACTCTATATTTGAGAACAAAAGTTTCCAAGAGCTTACTTTGCCATTTTCCACACCATCACTAAATTATCATCACCAGATGACAAGAAATGAGATCCATCATCTGTGAATTTCAGACATGAGACTCGCTGGAAGTGTCTTGAAATCTCAGTAGCCAAATGGTAAGTGGGCTGAACTCCAAGACTTGGTCAGTTTGAGACCTGGCTACATCATTGTATCTTGTACTTGCAACCTCAAAGAGCATCTGAAAGAAAAAATTGCCAGGGATTAAATAGGGGGGTGTGAGCTGTGGCTTTATAAGCCACTAGGCTTGAGTACAGACTTTTTTATCATGTTTTGAGATTCTAAAGACTAACCTGTTTTCTAAAATGCTTTTAACTGTATGTTGATATTACAATAGTGTATACATCTTTATTCCAATAATTATAATTGTAGCTTAAGAACACTGTTAATGAACTAGTCATGAATTAAGTTCTTTTTTTTGTTACTTTTTTTAAAATTTCTTTTTCACACTGAATGACTCAAACATACCTGCCAAATATAAATTTTCTCACCACAAGCCGCCACACAATAGTTACCATCAGGAGAGCATGTTATGGCTGTCACTTTACCAGGGCAGATTAATTTTGTGAGAACTGACTCCTAATATAAAAGGAAATAAAAAAGGAGTGTATAGGAGTATGGGGAGGGGGGGGCACTTCAAGTAAAATTTTCAACTCATTACTGGGTTCTCAGTTGCAATAAACTGAGATCAGGAAGGAATAGTCAAACAAAATCTCAGAAACCAAACCAGATACCAGGTAGGTTTAAATCTAGCTCTAAAATGCCTTAACCCTTAAACCCCTAACAGTGACCAGCATCTCACTTCTCATTACAAAACCACCCCTAAATCACACATTAAGATCATGAGAATATGGGAAATGATCACCAACAATAGCAGCTATTGATTGTTAAACAAATTCTCCTTGTTAGCACCTTTGGAAATGTACAGAGAACAGTAATGAGAATATGCATGCTGGTGTTGGGGTGTAGAGGGTTAAGTCCGTGATAGCTAACATTCATTATGAATTCACAAATCACTGGATCCTTATTTGAAAAGCACCAGTTACATTTGAATTATACACAAAAAAGATCAAATTATCTATGCCTGTAATATAAAAACAACAAGGCAATGAATCCTTTCACGTATGGTAAAAATGCAACCACAATCTTCTGGAAATTTTTAAAACACCTCATTTTTTTTCCTTAAATTTAGCAACAAAGACACCAACCTTAGCCATGTTCCACGTGTGGATTATAGGTTTATTTGACTGTGATGCCATGATATAATCTTTACCGAGAAGTGAAACGCATCTCGCTTGGCAACTTCCTCCTTTGTAAGCTTTCAGTTGCATACCTGAGTTTAAATCCCATAAGGATACACAGAAGTTATCTCCAGATGATTCTGTTGTCAGTGCTACCTCGAAGTCCGCCATCTTGGATTTCTTCATTACGAGCCGACAGTCATAAAAAAATCAGCGGTGTCCTCAAACTCATGTCTTCTGTTAAGGAGAAATTAGGAGATTAAAAATAACAAGATGGCTTCCGTGGAGCTTTCACAAGTTTATGTGCCTGTAGCGAATTACTGTGTCCAGATGATGAACTCTCTTAACGAGTTCCGGAAACACAATATCTTGTGCGAAGTAGTGATTGTGGTTAATGGAAAACAATTTTTCGCTCATCGGAATGTTTTGGCGGCGAGTAGTCCCTATTTCCGGGAGATGTTTTCGAGTAACATGCGTGAGCATTTGGAAAACAAGCCAGTGATTCTGGAAAACATCACTGCAGAAATAATGGAAGAGTTGTTAAATTTTATCTACACCGGAAGCATCAAGATTACTCCCTTTAACGTCAAGGATTTTGTTTCCGCTTCAAATTATCTCTTGATGACGAACTTGAAGGAAACTTGTATATCATTTATGAAAGCCATGTTAAATCCCTCGAATTGCCTGGGTATCGAAGCAGCTGCATTTAAATTCAATTGTACTGCTCTACGAAGCACAGCTAGTCAATACGTTTACGATAATTTTGTGGCTGTCTCGCAAACGGATGAATTTAAGTTGCTCTCTGCCGACCGCTTAGCAGAATATCTTGGCAGTGATGACATTCGAGTCGAACGCGAAGAACAAGTATTCGAATGTCTGATGCAATGGATAAACCATGATATAGAAGTTCGTAGAGGCTTTTTTAAAATACTTTCACAACATGTTCGTTTTCCGCTCATGTCTCCCTATTACTTAGCGGATCATGTTGAAACTGAAGAGATCGTACTTTCATCTCCGGAATGCACATCGTTGATTCTAGAAGCAAAGAACTACCACATGCTTCCAGATCGCAGACACCTGATCAAAGGTTCTAGAACCAAACCTAGAAGATCTATGGGGGTAATTTCTGTTATATTTGCTGCCGGAGGAATTCAAGGATCGACAGTAATGAGGGACACTTTTGGGTTTTTCCCTGCAGCAAATAGATGGAGTCCTTTAGCGCACATGATCATCGCGCGATGTAGACACGGATTAGCAGTTACTGGAGACATGGTATATGCCGTGGGTGGTCAGTCACGAGAAGGTATGTGTGATGAATAGAGTTTTAACGAGTACATGTAAGGGTTAGATGTCATATTTTCGTGTTGGTAATGAGGTCGGGTGAAAGTAAGAGAATAACGTTATTTGAACAGCGTGAAAAATATGTAAATTTATTTTTTTGCTGTTGTTGTTGTTGTTGTTCATAACTACGGCTTTTTGTAAGTTATTTGGAGTTAATCCTGAGAAGGACCATTGGGGGAGAAGTCAATTGAGTTATTGTTATTACTATTATTGTTATTATTACTAATATCATTATTATTATTATAATATTTATTAGCATTAGTATGATTATTATTCATGGTTTTAGTAGAGGTTACAACCTGATTTTGTGCAATTTGGTGTAAACAAGAATGAGAAAGTTTTTCAAGAAGATCAAAATTGCCAGGCAAGTGCAATTTGTTGTCTTGAAAAATTTACAAGTGTTTATTTGTACCAAATTACATGAGAAATCAATCTCAAGTTATTACTTATTAATGATTTGCACGATAAGAGCATCACAGAAAGTCAGATGAAATTTTGACAGTGCAGTCCTGTCACAACTTTGCAAGGTTGGTCATTACTGTTTTAGAATTGAGATCAAGTTTACCCATGAAAACTTAAATTTTCAAAACTTTGTCCTTGGTCATATGATAAAATACATATTGACTAAGTTAGGTAGGGCTGGACAGGAAATTAATTGGCTCTCAATCATGATACACATTGGGCCTGGTCTGTGTGTCATGACCTCAAGCCAAATATTCATGTCTAGCCCTCCCACTTAGTCAATAAGTACATATTATAGGCAGCAGTAGTCAGCACCAGTTACTAGTTTTTATTTAAACTCTTTGCATAATATGAAAGTGTTATACAGCAATATTTTCTGCCTACAGGTGCTGCCCAGAGTTCTCTGAACTCAGTGGAAAGATATGATCCAAGAACAAACACATGGACAATGGTTGCACCCATGAATATGAGGCGCAGTCTGCTCAATGTTGCAGTACTTGACGGTGAGTATTATTTTTCTCTTATGCCTAGTTAACCCTTTACACCCTAACATCAGTATGCATATTCTCCACACTGTTCTTTATACATTTCCTAAGGTGCTGACAAGGAGAATTTGTTTGCCAATCAAAAGTTTCCCTACCTGGTGACCACTTCCTTTATTCTCATGACCTTAATGTGTGATCCAGGACTGATATTGTTGGGAGAAATTAGATGCTAGTCACTCTAAGGGTTTAAAGGGTTAAATACGAAGCAGCAGTACACAGGCATTCTTTCTATATTCACCCTTAACACCTTAACATTAGTATGCATATTCTCTATACTGTTTTCCATACATTCTTTAAGGTGTTGACTTGGAGAATTTGTTTACCAATCAAGAGCTTCCTTAGTTAGTTGGTGTTCATTTCCTTTTTCCTTGTGACCTTATTGTGTGATTCAAGGGTGACATTGTAAGGAGAAATTAGATGCTGGTCAAAGAGGGGTTGGCTATCAGTTAGAGTACATACATAGGGTAGCATGAAAACTAGATTATTTTCATCACTGCGACTTGTTGCATAAGTTCAAAGTTCAAACCAACTTACATTGTTACCAAGGCTGTTACTTGTGGAAGAGAAAAGGGAACAGTTGCCTAAAGAAATGCAGCATTTATTTTTTAATTCCATCTTTTTGTGGAGTGTTTGACAGATAGTCTGAACTTTGTAAAAATTACCTTTAAACTTTTCAAATCCAATTCCATCATCTTTATTAAACAGCAAAAAAAGGTTTTGACCTATAAAGACAAGTGTACATTTGCATGTGGTCGTAGTTTCACCTTTTATTTTTTTCTTCACATTAGGAAATATGTATGCTGTGGGTGGCTGTGATGAGAGTAACTTCCGACTCAACAGTGTGGAACGTTACCACCCAGCAACAAACACTTGGTCATTTACAGCACCCATGACCACTTGTCGCAGCAGTCCATGTGTGTTGACATGCCGTGTACTGTATGTGATTGGTGGAGTAAGCTATGTTGGAATGTCACTTAACACTGGAGAGTATCTTGACCCCATGACAAACACGTGGAGGGCAATTGCCCCCATGCATTACAAGCGAGCAAGCGCATCAGGAGCAGCAACAAATGGAAAGATCTACATCATTGGTGAGCCATGTTTACTTAGTGTGTAAGAGTGATAGGCATCTAATTTCTCCCAATAGTATTACCCCTGAATCAAACATTAAGGTTATGAGAGTGACAGAAATGATCACAAACTCAAGAAGCTCTTGATTGTTAGACAAGTTCTCCCTGTAGGTACCACAGGAAATGTATAAAAATGGTGTGGAGAACTTGTATACTGATGTCAGGTTGTGAAGGGTTAGGATAAAATATTGTGAGATGTCATTTAAAAATTCAGTTCAACGCAATTTCATATTAATTTTTTAAGGTGGCTGGGACGGTTCTGTTCACCTGAATAGTGGTGAGGTGTATGACCCTGATATAGACCAGTGGTCCTTGATTGAACCTGCTAGCACTGCCAGATGGGATGCTGGGATAGCTGTAGAGAGTGACAAAATCTTCATTGTTGGGGGATGTGACAGGAATGCACTTTGCACTTTGGAAACAGAGTGCTATGACCCTGAGAAAGACAAATGGAGTAAGGTGGCATCCCTGCCAGTTGCAACACATGGAATTAAGTGTTGTACCATCCAGCTTCCACATAAATTTGCATAGCTATCTCAGTATGTGCAGTCTGTCACTCAATCCTGTAACTTGTAAGATCTGATTAGTATTTTATTTCTCCTTCCTGGCAGCTGTATGCTTCCTGGTAAATTTTTTAAGGGAATTTGACATTGTATCAAGATGGTACTTTTGCGAACAAAAAGGTTAAAAACTACACAAGGCATGTACAGAAGTAGGTGTACATGAAGGATATGATATATTTCACTGAGGCAAATTGTTATCTCAGCAATGACAATGGTTGATTGGCCAGCAGGAAATACATAACTATGTTGTATATTCAGGTGAGGGTAGGCAAGTGGTTGTTACGTGCTAAGGAAGGGGCCCCTCTGGACACTTATCTCCTCCTTGCCCCCCTTTCTACTTTGGCCTCACAATTAGCTCTGTTCCCCCACAATTAAAAATGCACCTCTTCTGCTACAACATATGCACTTATGTGAAAATTGAACAATAATGACCTGAGACTTGGTTCTCAACCCTGATTGTATAGATTTGATACCATTAACCTATGGAGTTGAAATGTTAGCTATGAATAACAGTTGTTTGTGGGACACAAGTTGTTCATACTCATTTTATTACAGGGTGTCCAATTTACTGAAAATTGATGTAGCATGTTGATTTGGAACATGTCTGATATTTGTAGCTCCATAGAAATTTTATTTACTGGAGATATTTGGAGTCTTTTGCAAACAGCATAACTAGTGGCATAGCCAGCCTATAGGCTGGCAGGCTTAGGCTTTCATTTTTCTTTCTGCTTGTTTGGCTTTTGTAATTTGACTCTTTCAAATATTGAGACAAAAATTGAACTTTCTCAGGAACTGGCCTACAATGTACAAGTTAAAAAGCTGGCTACACCCTTTATAACTGTGTAAGGGAGAATGGTTTTAATTTTATTTCCATTAGAGAAGAAAAGAATTAATGCAGGTTGTTTTATGAAGGAAGCCCAAGTAAAAATTTAAGCATATTGAGCTTTTTCCATTGGTGAACAGCAAATTTTAAGTGCTGACACATAAGAAATTAAGGCACCTCTACAGGATCCTTTTAATTTTGTCATTCCTTACTCATTTTTAAAACTTCCTTTCCCCCAAGCAGTTTACTTCAACGGAAAGGTTTGATAGATAAAACTCAATGTTGTATTTAGGGTGGGAAGCAGGGGTGGAAGGGGAAAAGGAATTCCACTTCAACCAGATAAGGAAAAAAAATGTGAGTTAACCCTTTAACTCCCATAAGTGACCGAGACAGAATTTCTCCTCACAATATCAATACAATATCAAGCAGACGAGTGATGAGAATAAAGACAAATGTTAATTAGGGGATGATTGTACATCCAATACCGAATTCCCCAAACTAATATCACAAGAACTGTATAGCAGACAGTAAGGAAAATTGCTAATGAGATCTTGGGAGTTAAAGGGTTGAGACTTTTAAAACTCAATGTTGACCATGAAGTTCATAATTTCTGGAATAACATAATTTTAAAAATCCTCGAAACGATATACCTCGGAACGCATATTTTTTACCATGCGTTTTCTTTTTTCTGAGTGAAATTAAAGAAGTGCGACAGTGTGTTCCACCAATTTTATTTTAGATGGCATAGTGTTTATTGTAAGTCTGGTGACCAGCCTAAAAAGTCATTCTAGCAGTTTTGTTTTTTCTTCTTTTTCGTTCTTCTTGAGGCAAAAAAATACGGCTTGGTTGACGACAAACAGGACTAATAGTACCGCTTCACCTGATGCAAACAACCGGAATGCCTCTACGGCGCCAAATGCATCGATGAAAAAGCCGCACAAGGCAGTTCCAATGCCGCAACCCACGCCGAGAAACAAAGAGTTAACCCCTCCTACGGAGATAAAGAAATACCATTAGTGTCGGTTCAAAAAATAAACTGTGTAGGGCCAAACCTTATTTATTAGTCAGCTAATTTGCATAAAAATATTTTTTGCGGCGCGAAGCCTGTCGGGGTAACAGAGGATTCTGGGATTTTCAGGGGGAACGAAGAGGGGATCAATCGTTGCTAACAAAGTTTAAAATTTTTCGTCGAACAAAGAGTGTAAAGACAAGGTCTTCATTTTTCTAACTATGGGGCTTTAACTCGTTCGTTTCCGAGCCCCTGTTACCCTTTCTGAACAAGACATTGGGAACCTGGTACGTAACGAGGTTGAATACTCTCTTTTTCTCACCTTGCACTGTATCCATCAGATGACTGGGTGTTACTTCACCAAAGTAACTGATCAGGCCTGTAAAACCAGTTACATAAGCGGTGTAGCCAATAGTCTCAAAGAGAAGCATGAGCCATGGGTTTTTCATGAGAGACATTCCCACAAACCAAATGAAGAACAGCATCATGGAGAACATAGTGATTCCAGAGTAACCAGTCTTCTTCACACACATGCCTGTCAAGCCCAGGAACACCACACTTACCGCAGAGCAAGTCATCCGAGAGAAACCAAACACCAGCGTGGCGATGGTAACGTCTAAGGTCTTGGTGTACCAGAACCCAAACGTTAGCACAACTCCATCAAAACAGCCAATCAAGAACGTCATGACGATGAAGACGCAATTTTGATATCGAGAGAAGAACTCAAATAAAGTCAAAGGCTTTCCGTTGCCATTTCCTTCAGTGTTGTCGCTGTGCTTGATCGTTTGATCTCCCAGCTGCGATACAGATACTAACGAAGCCATAGCCATGAAAGAAATGACAGCGAAGACAATAGCAAAGTTGTCCTGATACTCGCCACAAATCACATAATGGTAATGAGTAACAAATACAGCTGTGATGGGAGCAGCAATCATGTGCCCAATTGGACCCCAGAGACGAATCTTGCCAAAATCGCGGCTATTTTCCCCGAGGTAGTCCACAATTTCAGAATTAGCCAGACTAAATGCAGGAGACGCGAGGAGTTCCCCAACGAATACAATAAACACAAATATGAGAAATATGGTGTTGATGTCTTGCGGGTTTTTTTCTAAGATAAGGACATGATCGCCAACCAGAGATGTTTGTCTTGAAGTGCGCCTCTTTATCGGTGGTAGAGAACGTCTTGAGGTAAATTGTTCCAGGATTTCAGGGGTTTTTTCTACCTCACGGAAAAGCGATTGCATATCGTGGGTTCGGTTACGATGATTCGTATTCTCGTCGTTAGGATGGAAGGAATTTTTGCCCTCCTGTGGAGTGATTACGCGACGCTTGTTTTCATCCAGGCTCTTTCCCGATTCCACCAAGCACTTATCGTGCGTTCTTCTTGGAATCAACGACACTAGTGGCGTAATAGCCGTGGATAGAATGCTCATCATCAGCAACGCACGGCGAATCTTCCACTTACTTGCCATTTTTCCAAAGATGACCCCGCCAAGGGAGTATGCCACGCCCCAAACGGCTCGTAAAATGCCGATCTGAGTCGGAGACAAGCCAAGCTGTTGCCAGTAGACTGGCATAAAGAACATTTTAAAGCTAAAGCATGTCTCGAAGAAGAAGTAAAACGAACTTAATGCAATCCTACTTCTGTGCTGCAAACAAAATTCCGAGATGCAATTTGGCTTTTTTCCGGGTTCTTGTGAATGGGTACTTGACATTTTTCTTTCTCTCTTTGCTAAATGCCTGAGACAAAGTAAAAACAAACAAACAAGCAACTTAAACAATGCTTGTAATTTTGAAGCAGATGGCCATTCTATGGCTGAGCTGTAACTTGGGAAGGTCAATCAACAGTCATTTTCGTACATTTAGATTATCCAAAAGAGCTTTTTAAAAAAAACGTTTAGTTTGCGAAGTTTAGCTAAATGTATTACGTTTTCATTATTTTTGTTATGTTCGTATTAGTCGCGATTAAAGAATGGGGCGAGAGAATCTGCTATTGCTGCAAGTGTCAATGTAGAGCACGGCTGTTCCAAGACAAAACTGAGGATCGTCGGTAACAGCAACAAACTGACTTATTTCCACGTAGTTGAGTTCTCGACTTTACAGCACTAAGCTTCTTCACAATTCTCTGTTTTTTTGATGAAACTATCGCTCTTATATACATAAAGTCCAAGGATCTAGAAACTTCTCTAAGGAGCTAAATTTAGTAGATTAACACGGTTTCTAAATCTGAATAATTACATAAGAGATAGAACGTTCCAGAATGTTCTTATACAAGAAGGTCACGGCTGGATGACTTCAGGTTCTAGATTTTTCTATAGAATGTTATAAGACTTGACTTAGGCAATTTCTCGTAACAGCTATGTTCTGGCACTTCGACGTTTATCGACAGACGTTAACACGTAAGGTTTGAGTTTAGGGTTAGTTCGAGCGAATGAGTGTTCGAGTAAGCTGATAGTAAATGACTGGAGGAGTGGCGTAAAATCCACGGGAAATCGGATCTTGTTTGCGCGGTGTTCAAGTTAGCGGGGTTCCACTGTGTTCTACATTCAGATCTACCACGAGTTGTAAGAAAAACAATCGGCATCCATCATACAAAACATCGCACAATGAATAACAAGCGATAATGGGGAGTTTCCGTACACCTTGACTTGTATATGCTTAAAATGTTTTATGCTTTCGTGATATGTGATTATTGTTAATCACTGGTACTTAAATTGCTCCAAAAATAGACATTGTTTTGTCTTCTAAGAGGTGTCCGCCAGTTTCTCTTTGAATACATTAACTATGTGACCTTAACTGATTGAAAAGACTTACCGTCTAAAATGTCTTCGCTTCGATTTCGCTTATCAAACTTTTTTCTTCCCACGTTTAGGAAACTAATCATTTTTACGATTCGATCTAATCTCTATTGAGCGTAGAGCTGAACACCCGCGGCTAGGTTCAAAGATCATGATTTTCAAATGTCCCACTTCAAAATCATAATCTCTGAACCTAAACATTGCCACTTGCCAAAAACGTCAAATAGAACTGCCTTTGAACGTTTCTTTCAATCAAACTATAATGAAGGGGGCAATTACTGGGCCAGAAAAAGTCACCTGAGTGACTATCGACATTTCGGGCAAACAGTAAAAATACGAGCGACGGAGATGAAAAGTTTCTCAATTAATATCTTCCAACTCCTCTGGTTTGGACTTTCCACGCCACATCTACAAAAATCCCTCGTATGAATGAATAAATCACGCTATTTCATTAAAATGAAATAATAAGTTTAGCGGTCGTGCAATCTAAGCAAAATATAGTCCAAAAGGTATATGAAAACTATGTTAACATGTACAATGAGTATAATTATTAATAACAGGTTAAAACCCTTAAAATATATTCAGTTATTTTCCATGTGTTTAATAATGTTTAAGGTGTGATCGAAATCTGCTTTGTAATTGCCGAGTTTAAATAACAGACCGGGTTGAATTTGTTTGAGTTATTAGCCGCTGATTCCTTACTCATTAGGTTGTTTCGTGTCATTATCCTGGCCTATGACCACGTCCAACAACGAACGCTTTACGTGTTGTAAAAGGAGAGAATGGGTACCAAATGGGTAATCAAAATAAGACGAAAATTCCTCTAACAAGCAGCTGGTTTGAGGAATTTTCGAACACTCCTTGTTCAGTTAATACTTTCTTTATTTCCTTTCTTAAAAACTCAATACAACGTGCTAGCTCGGGGTCTAACTCATCTCTCTAGGAAAGTGTTGGTCTAAAGCTTATAAAGGTGACAGTTATAACCAGCTGTGAATATTTGACAACGTCACTATTTCTCACTTAATTAGCCTGCGAATCATGTTGAATTACGTGAAACAGTTTACTAAGTATGTACCTTCGGTTTCTTGATTCTCTTCAAAACGACCTTCTGCCTAAAATTTCATACTTATGCGGTTAAGATCGGCCAAAACAATAACAAGATTGATAATATAGAATTATAAAGGAACCGTTCTGTAGATTAAAATTACACCTAAAAAGACAACTCAAGAGAAAATAGCCCTTGAAGTTTGTTACATGACAACATAAAAGACGGAGAATCTAGAGAATCTACGGATGAATTTTATTAATATGAAAAGGCACCCGCTGCGGGGATATGTACAGAACATATCGAGAACTTGGAGAGTCAGCCAAAAATGCGGTGATTATCATTTAAAAACATTTGAAGGAAAGTGGTACGTGTCGTTCGTATTAATTTTTCAGATGCCGTAGGAGTTTAAGTTGGCGTAATGTTACCGTAAAGCTGCTACAAAGTTCTGCTTCACGCAGCTTTACGCCACATTTACATTATGTAAAGGCAATTACATTCAACTGATTATAAATTCAGTGCGGGTGATCAGAAGAATAAGTTTTGTACACCTTTAATCACCTTACAGAAAGAGGTGTTGAACGTGCTAAATTCAAAATTAAGAATCATCGGAAGTTCGACATGAAAGTAATCGAAAAATGAGCCTTAATTTCATTCAGTTCATGTTAAATTCGTGACAGGAGAATATGCCATAATCATAATAATATTGATAATCGCAAACAGCTTGATACAAACTTTTTTTAAGGATCTTACGCTGTGAATATATATCAAACGTCCCTAAAGAACTAAGTTCAACGTGCATTTGATTTTCTAGTTGAAATTCGTTAACTCCGGTCACAATTTGGCTTAAAACGCAGTATAAAAAACAGTGGTCACAGCTTCGATTGTCATTCTGATCCTCAAAAACAGTCTTGTTGTGTTCTACACATGCATCGTGATTGTAAGACCTTAAGAGCCGTGCAATGCTAAAATCAGCCACCGCATATTCTGGACGATAGTTTTTCAAACAAGAGAAATGACGTCTCTTTGACCAACATAAGGGACATTCTCATCTCAACCTGTTATTCTTAAAACTAATACCTTCGTGACTTGATTAAATGGGTCGTCTACAACGGTAAACATCTCAAATACAAGGGCTCCTGGTTACACTGAGAATGAAACTCACCTTGGCACTTACAGAGTTATTACTTTAGAACGTAAGGATGAAAAAGGTCGCTAACCGGCTGAGTAATTCGGGAAAAAACGTCCTTATTATTCTTGCAAAGCACTCAAAAGAAAGTAGTACGTGTACGTCATATCAAATTAGATTTTGAAATGCCTCAGGAGGTTTGTTGCTATATAGAGCGATGAGCTCATTTGTCTTGGGGGAGGGGGAAGGACGTCCCAGCATGTGCCAAGTGTGTTACAAAATGATACCGCTTTGTGTCAAACTTAGACAAATATTAATGTGTATGGTCGTATTTAATTTCTAGAGGCTCTTGCTGGAACATTTGGTGCTATTAGCTGTGCGAGACGCTTTGACAACATCTGGAAAGCAATTATTAACCTGGGCTGACACATACCACAGTAGAGGAAGTTCGTTGCCTCCCTACGCGCCAGAGGGCGTACAGGGGCGTGAGTGGGAAAATGAATTCAGTCCTCAAACACACGTTTCACCGCTTGGTCTTTCTATTGCAGCTCCATCGCTTAAGAATTTTTCAATACCTGAAGCTAGTTGGTATTTCAAATTGGCCATCGACACACTCTGGTCGGCCAACAATTTAGGTTGAAATAAAGATCTTCTCGATTATAAGGGTAAAAGAAAAATTATAACATAGCTAGTAAATTTGTCTAATCAAATTCAATTACGCAAGCGTGCTTCATATTCCTATTGTGCACGCTCACGACGTCAGCAAACAAATCCCTCGCGAAAAAAAATTTTCCATCGGGTTGAAAATGTTATAAAACCATTGGTTCATACATCAGCTGTGCCTTCATCGAGATATGAAGCACTTGGGAAGTTTGGAGAGCACTTGCTCTCGGTTACGCCTCGAGCAACTCTTACGCATGTTTCATGCTCTCCAAACTTCCAGCGTGCTTCATATCTCGAGTACCGCACGCTGACGTATGAACCAATTGTTAATTGTTTCCTTGGGGCGCTGTAGGAGGTCTTCGTGTGAAATTCGAGCTGGTTCGTCTTCAGTCGCTCATCGCCAACGGGCCTTTAAAATTCGAGCCTGAATCCAAGTTTTTAACTTTTTAAGCTTCAAGAACTCAAGAAACAGATGAATTGTTGAAAATGAATGGGCGCAGTGGATAAATTTTCACATGCCTTGCAAATACTGTTTACATGCCTTCCACATAGCTAATTTTACATGCATATTAAGTTTTCATATGCATGTAATCAGTCACCCCGTTTGCTGGAAGCTAGTTTTCAAAATGTAGATAAATGAACGACAAAAGGGAACTCTGATCTCAAAGGATTATTCTAGAATTGGTCAATTCTGGACTTAAAATTCATGGGTTTATCATGACGGTCGGCCGCTTAGGTACGAGGGCTCCTTGTTACAGAACTAAGCTTACCTTGGAATTTTCAAAGTTACTTCTAGAGAATATACGGATGAATTTTATTAATATGACGAGGCACCTGCTGCGGGAATGTGTACAGAACATATCGAGAACTTGCATTGGAGAGTCGACCAAAAATGCGGTGATTATCATTTAAAAACATTTGAAGGAAAGTGGTACGTGTCGTTAGTATTAATTTTTCAGGTGCAGTAGGAGTTTAAGTTGGCGTAATGTTAACGTAAAGCTGCTAAAAAGTTCTGCTTCACGCAGCTTTACGCCACATTTGCATTATGTAAAGGCAAGCTTTACGTAGTTTTTACACTTTGACGTGAAACTAGAGTAATGAGACTTCCATAAGATGCGTAAAGCGAGTGTAAAGTAGAGATTTACGCTAGCTTTACCTATAAGCGTAAATATAGAGTATAAGCGTCTTTAAGCCAACTTTACGCTTGCCGTAAAGTCAACTTTATTCTTGAGTGTAAGGGAGCTGTATAAACTGCTCACATATCGTGAAAACTCAAATCCTATGGTACAGAAACTAAACATTCAGCTTTACTTTATACGACTTAAGGAAAACAAAAGCAAAGCTGATTACCCGGTTGCCCACTTTTAAAGTGTGATTAAAAAGTTGTTTGTCAATCCATCAAACAGTCTAACTGCTGTGTTCACAATTTTGCACATTTGCCATAAAAACATGCTCTCATGCATGCATGTAAGTAATTTAACACTTGATCATTTCTTAAGGATAACATTTAAGATATTATTTGTAATCTTTGTTGTACTTGAAAGAAAACTACAGAAAATGAAAACCTTGTTCTAATAATATCAATTTATACAATAAATGAGAGGGAAATAAGTTAAAAAATTTGAAAACATTGTATTTATATAATTTGAAATATGAAAACTTGGAACCAATTGAAAACAATAAGATAACTGAAACATTGAAAATTGAAACTTTGTTCTGACATCAGCAGTGAAGATGTGTGTACATGTACAATTGAAAATATTGCTCTAATCCTACTTGAAATGTTGTTAACAGAAAAAAAAAATAAAACCTTGTTCTAATATTTCTACCTAAAGAAAGCGTAATCAAGAAGTTATCTCTATAACATTGTTCCAGTATCACTTAAAAACTGCATTAACATTATCATTGGAAATTGAAAATCACCACAGAAATTAGTGTTACAGAAAATTGAACACTTTGTTCCGAAAAAATATATGTAGGCAAACCTGTGATGAAGCAATACAACTGCCTGAGAAACTCAACTACATTTATAACTGTTCTTGAATACATAGGCGGTCATAGAGAGCAAAACTATGAAAAGGTGATTTTCGTAGAGATTTTCCAGACGAGTTGTGGTTGCCAGAAGCAGAGTGATGGGAGTAACAACTGCCTCTCCAGGTGACTGCCCATTGCAGGCCTTTAACGGGCCAGCATCGTGTTGATGGCCTTTCATGGGCGTGTCTTGTCACCAGATTTACTCTTGCTCTTGGATTAAGGCTCCTGATGTAAACATCATCAAGATACCCGTTAAGGTGCCTTTCTCCATTTTCATCCTCAGAAAAGTGATTCACCCGAGCTAGTGTAGGCTAAGCATCCTACAGCCATCCCCACCATGGCCTTTTTCTCCTCTGACCAAAGCATTTTTCTGAGGGATGCGAGTCTCTACCGAGTTTTCAAGGCAATTATGCAGAGAAAGAACACAAACATTAGCAATTGTACTATCAAACAAGAGATACACGCAAACTTTAAATTGAACGTAAATCTGGCTCTTCAGCTTTAAGTTACCTTGACGTAAGCTCTACGTCCAATGACGTTAATCTACCTTAACGCGCCTTAACGAGCATTATAAAACTGATTAAAGCCTAACGAACTTTACGCAACTTCAATTACCGTAAATCTCTTTTTTATAATTGGCTATCTCATTCGTAGTCTTATGATTCTTGTGTTAATAGAAAAAATTCTTAAGCTCATTTACCCCGAGGGTGGAGTGGTTTTGACTCAGTGTCGTAAAACCATAGCCTGAGTAACCGCAAAGTAACAATCAAATTAAAGAGAATCCCAAAAAGTGCACGAGATACATACTGGGAACAATCGAATGACACTAACGTAGCAATCCAGTGAACATAAAATGTGCGTGGCACTAACGTAACAATTTTGTGAACGACAGTCCTAAAATGCGCGTTTAATGACATAACTTTCCAATAAAAGAGAATCCCAAAAGTGTATGAGATGCTGAAGTAACAATGGAATGTAACTCAATCCTAAAATGTGCGTGAGCATTGCGTCACTTTCAAATGAAGGAGTATCCTTAGGATGCACGAGATACCAACACAACAATTCAATAAAAGAGAATCCCTAACTTCGCAAGATATTAACGTGATAATCCAGTTAAAGAAAATCCTTACATCATACCCTGATCATACTGTGCAACTGAAATGTTACCACCTCCGCGTGCCCAGAACGGAAGTTCTGGGTACGAGACTCCTAGAGAATCCTAAGGTTTACGTGTTACTAACATAAAGAGCCGATGAAAGAGAATCGCAAATGTGCGCAAGATACTAACATAACATTTATTACTCATAATAAAAAAACAGAAAAACTAAATGTTAATTGTAACTCATAGAAATATATCTTCCTAGTAGTATCAACCGTCGATGGCCTTGCAAATGAACAGTCCTTGGTTCAAAACAAACTTGAACACCTTTCTAAGATGACACTTGGTGAAGCATACACCACAATAGTAGAGCCAGTCGCTTAGGATAACCCGGACGCGGATGTGTGGCGGCCGCTGTGGTTTGGCGCGCGTTTGAACGGAGTGTCGATTATTCCCGCCATTGTTGTTAAATTTATCATGGCTGTGGGTGAGAATTTCAACAATTTCTCAACTTCCTTTGTTCCGTGATGGGTTAAAAGTCACTCAAAAGGTTCTTTGGTTATTTCTACGCCTTGTGTGGCAAATGCAAGCTTTTGTTTTGTGTTGAAAGCTTTGTCTCGATAGCATGGATACAAGCGTGCCTATCGCAACACAAGCTGGCATCACGAGCCTCAGCGATCGTAAGTTTTTTTTTTAATTTTAATCGCAGAAATAATCTATTTTACGGCTCTTTTTTCAATGTATAACATAAGAATTCAAGTGATATAACTGAATCAAGGGAACATTGAATTCAATTCAGTGTTTATTCAACATTCAATTTCTTTTTGACATGAGGCGCAGTCTGCTCGATGTTGCAGTACTTGACGGTGAGTATTATTTTTCCCTTATGCCCAGTTAACCCTTTACACCCTAACATCAGTATGCATATTCTCCATACTGCTCTCTATACATTTCTTACGGTGCTGACAAGGAGAATTTCTTTTCCAATCAAAAGGTTCCCTCCCTGGTGACCACTTCCTTTCTTCTCATGACCTTAATGTGTGAATCAGGAGTGATATTGTTGGGAGAAATTAGATGCTAGTCACTCTTAGGGTTTAAAGGATTAAATACACAGCAGTACCCAGGTGTTCCTTTTATATTCACCCTTTACATCTTGATATTAGTATGCATATTCTCTTTACTGTTTTCCATACATTCCTTAAGGTGTTGACTTGGAGAATTTGTTTACCAATCAAGAGCTTCCTTAGTTAGTTGGTGATCATTTCCTTTATCCTTGTGACCTTATTGTGTGATTCAAGGGTGACTTTGTAAGGAGAAATTAGATGCTGGTCAAAGAGGGGTTGGCTATCAGTCAGAGGACATAGATAGGGTAGCGTGAAAACTGGATTATTTTCATTACTGTGACATGTTGCACAAGTTCAAAGCTCAAACCAACTCACTTTGTTGTTGATGGGTAAGAAAAAAAAGTGTGAGTTAACCATTTAACTCTCATATGTGACCAAGACAGAATTTCTCCTTACAATAGCAAGCAGATGAGTGATGAGAATAAAGAAAAATGTTAACTAGGGAGTTATTAGTTGATCCACTACCAAATTCTCCAAACTAATATCATAAGAACTACAGAACAAACAGTATGGGGAATTGCTAGTGAGAACTTGGGAGTTAAAGGGTTAAGACTTTTACTATTCAATCTTTGTCTGTGAAATTCATAATTTCTGTAATTTCAGAATTTTTAAAAAAATGGAAATTCACTGTTAAATTATGCATTATCAGATGATACCATACAATATTACTTACTTTTAAAAGATACCTGTATATTACTACGTATGTGACTACCTTGTATAGCTAGCTTTTAAAATTTTCCACATCTCAGCAGATTGTTAATAATGTTCAAAGATATAATTTAATAGGAGTTAAATTAAATGATTAGTTCAAGTGATAATCCGGTCAAAATGAGAAATTGAAAAACGAGTGGGTTCCAAGTTCACCATTCGTGATTTAACTTACAATATGCCATCAAGTAAAATCTGTACCCGAGCCTGTTGGCCCACCAGGCCGGAGTTAATCCTGGTTTCCACGTAGCATGTTTGGTGGATGGTTAGAAGAGGCCCGGTGGTCTTTAGTTTAGCCCCAAAACTATCGGTCTTCTCCCTCAAAACGATGTACCTCAGAACGCATATTTTTCACCGAGCGTTTTCTTCTTTCTGAGTGAAATCATGATTAAAGAGGTGCAACAGCGTGATCCACCAATTTTAGTTTAGATGGCGTAGTGTTTACTGTAAGTCCTGTGACCCGCATAAAAAGTTATTCCAACAGCTTTCTTTTTTCTTCTTTTTCGTTCTTCTTCAGACAAAAATATGTAACTTGGTTGACGACAAACAGCACTAATAGTACAGCTTCACCTGAAGCAAACACCCGGAATGCCCCTTCGGCGCCAAATGCATCGATGAAAAAGCCACACATGGCAGTTCCAATGCCGCAACCCACGCCGAAAAACAAAGAGTTAACTCCTCCTACAGAGATAAAGAAATGCCTTTAGTGTAGGTTTAAACATTATTTATTAGCCGGCTAATCTGCATAACATTTTCTTCCGGAGCAAAGCTCGTCGGAGTGACAGGTTTCTGGGATTTTCAGGGGGGCGCAGGGGACAACAATCGTCGCCAACAAAGTATGAAATTTGGCTTTCTTTTTTGCCGAAAAAAGAGTGTAAAGACAAGGTCAGTAGGGTTTTAGCTTATTTGTTTACAAGTCCCTGCTCCCCTTCCTGAGCAAGATCGTGGGAACCTGGTAACGAGGTTGAATCCTCTTTTATTCTCACCTTGCACTGTGTCCATCAGATGACTGGGTGTTACTTCACCAAAGTAACTGATCACGCCTGTAAAACCAGTTACATAAGCGGTGTAGCCAATAGTCTCAAAGAGAAGCATGAGCCATGGGTTTTTCATGAGAGACATTCCCACAAACCAAATGAAAAACAGCATCATGGAGAACACAGTGATTCCAGAGTAACCAGTCTTCTTCACACACATGCCTGTCAAGCCCAGGAACACCACACTAACCGCAGAGCTAGTCATCCGTGAGAAACCAAACACCAAAGTGGTGATGGTAACGTCTAAGGTCTTGGTGTACCAGAACCCAAACGTTGACACAACTCCATCAAAACAGCCAATCAAGAACGTCATGAAGATGAAGACGAAATTTTGGTAGCGAGAGAAGAACTCAAATAAAGTCAAAGGCTTTCCGTTGCCATTTCCTTCGGTGTTGTCGCTGTGCTTGATCGTTTGATCTCCCAGCTGCGTTACAGATATCAACGAAGCCATCGCCATGATAGAAGTGACAGCGAAGACAATAGCAAAGTTGTCTTGATACTCGCCACAAATCACATAATGGTAATGAGTGACAAATACAGCTGTGATGGGAGCAGCAATCATGTGCCCAATTGGGCCCCAGAGACGGATCTTGCAAAAATCGCGGCCATTTTCCCCGAGGTAGTCCACAATTTCAGAATTAGCCAAACTAAATGCTGGAGAAGCGAGGAGTTCCCCAACGAACACAATAAACAAAAATATGAAAAATATGGTGTTGATGTCTTGCGGGTTTTTTTCTAAGATAAGGACATGATCGCCAACCAGAGGTGTCTTCCTGGGAGTGCGGCTCTTTATCGGTGGTAGAGAACGTCTTGAGGTAAAATGTTCCAGGATTTCAGAGTTTCTTTCCTCCTGACGGAAAAGGGATTGCAAAGCGTGGGTTTGGGTTCGATGATTCGCATTCTCGCTCGCTTTACTCTCGACGTGAGACTTGATCCACTCAATGTGAGGATGGAAGGAATTTTTGCCCTCTTGTGGAGTGATAATGCGACTCTTGTTTTCATCCAGGTTCTTTCCCAATTCCACCAAGCACTTATCGTGTGTTCTTCTTGGAATTAATGACACTAGTGGTATAATAGCCGTGGATAGAATGCTCATCATCAGTAACGCACGTCGAATCTTCCACTTACTTGCTATTTTTCCAAAGATAACCCCGCCGAGGGAGTATGCCACGCCCCAAACGGCTCGTAAGATGCCGATCTGAGTCGGAGACAAGCCAAGCTGTTGCCAGTAGACTGGTATTAAGTATAATTTAAAGCTAAAGCATGTCTCGAAGAAGAAGTAAAACGAACTTAATGCAATCCTAGTTCTGTGCTGCGAACAAAATTCCGAAATGCAATTTGACTTTTTCCCGGGTTCTTGTGAAGGAGTACTTGACATTTTTCTTTCTCTCTTTGCTAAATGCCTGAGACAAAGTATAAACAAACCAACAAGGAAGTTAAACAATGCTTGTCAACGTTGAAACAGATGGCCATTCTTCCAACTTCTCTGGTTTGGACTTTCCACGCTAAGTCTACAAAATTCCCCCGTATGAATGAATAAATCACTTTATTTCATTAAAATGAAATAATAAGCTTGGCAGTTGTGCAATCAAAACAAAATGTAGTGCAAACGGTATATGAAAACTATGAAAACATGTACAAATGAGTGTAATTATTAATAACAGGTTAAAACCCTGAAAATATGTTCAGTTATTATCCATGAGTTTGATAATGGTTAAGGTGTGATGAAATATATCTTGCAATTGCTGAGTTTAAATAGAAGACCAGGTTGAATTTGTTTGAGTTATAAGCCGCCGATTTCTTTCTCATTTGACTGTTTTGTGTCATTACCCCTGGCCTCTGACCACGTCCAACAACGAACGCTTCACGTGGTGTAAAAGGAGAGAATGGGTACCAAATAGGTAATCTAAACAAGATGAAAATTCCTCTAACAAGCTAGCTGGTTTGCGGAATTTTCGAACACTCCTTGATAAGTTAATACTTTCTTTATTTCCTTTCTTAATTAAAAGTGTTGGTCTTCAGCTTATAAAGGTGACAGTTATAACCAGCCGTCAGTATTGACCAACGTCACTATTTCTCACTTAATTAGCCTGCGAATCATGTGGAATTACGTAACAGTTTACTAAGTACGTATCTACGGTTTCTTGATTCTCTCCAAAACGACTTTCTGCATAAAATTTCATACTTTTGCGGGTAATATCGGCCGAAACAAAAACAAGATTGACAATATAAACGTTATAAAGGACCCACTGCGTAGATCAGAATAAAGAACTAAGTTCGACACGCATTTGATTTCTAGTTGAGATTCGTTAACTCCGATCAAAATTTGACTTAAAACGCAGTATGAAAAACAGTGGTCACAGTAATCCGTGTACCTTAGTGCCAACCGATTTTCAATTGAATGGGAAAATGAAACACAAATTTTATTTTCGTTTTTCGTTTTTGTTTGCAGCAAAAAAACCAAATAATAATTGGACTTTCATGTTCGTTTTTCGTATTTTCCCCGCCGGGAAGGAAACGGAATTCGAATTCACTTTATGCTCTCCGTTTTCTTTTTTGTAACTTGAAAAAACGGATTTTAATTTTCTTTTTCGTTTTTCGTTTTTCATTTTTCGTTCCGTATGGAATTTGGGAAACGGACTACAAGTCGTTTTTCGTTTTCGGCCAATGGTAGTGTAACTGACAATCTTTGTTTAAGCGGGAATATTTAAGAAACTAAGATGGCGGCGCTAGAAAATGTTTTAAATAAAGACTGTCCGGCGGTTTCTTATTTACTTACGAGGAGCTTGTCACTGAAATCAAGGCCCGATATCCGAATCTAAAGGGCTGTAGTTTACGAAGCGTTAAAAGGTTTCATGGGGCAGAATGCTGTGAAATTCATTAAATATTCATGATCATCCAAGCGCAAATACGCGCTCTGAAAAGCCCAAAATTAGAGAAGAAAGGGCCATAATTGGCCAAGTAGCGTTGATAAAACTTGCTTTCCTGATTTCAAGAATTAAAAATCTTAAAACCCACGCACGGAATTTTGAAGAGGAATGTTGTATCAACAATTTAAGACTAAAATAAAGAAGATTGAACAAGTGGAAGGAGTATCCTTTTGCACTTGAAAATAAGGAAAAATTGACCTTTTTTTGTATGGAGTCCGTTTTCCAAAGCAAATTTCTGAAAACTTTTACTGAATTTCGACCACCCACGCACGGTTTATGGAAAATTCATCTTTTCTCATCAAGAATCTGCAAAAAGTTTACAAATTGGTCAACGGGAACCACTATCCTTTTCAGTTTGAAAACTGCTGGTTGAATTCGCGTTTGAAAATGGCGCGTCTTGAGCGAGCGAGCTATTGTTTTAAGCCTTCGATTGAATAACAATGGTTACCAAGACTAAATAATAGACTATTCAGAAAAACCATTCAGTTGTAAAATTATTCACTATTACCGCGAATTTTAAAAGTAAGTAAAGTAAAGCAGCTGGTTTATTCAAACAGCCGATCGTATCGCGCAATGGATAAAGTCATGGAAAACGTCAGCGATCGGGAGCTCTTTTCAGAGCTCGTTGACAACCCGATCAATCCGTTACATGTACATATAGTGCCTCCATTTGTGAAAGAAAACAACCCGATGTTTTATCTTCAAATAAACGGAGAGGCTGCGTTCAAATGGCCAGATAGTTATGGTCAGCCCTGTAAAGTATTTAACTTACTCCGAGTTTATTCAAACGAAGGAAGAAACAAAAGCGGGTTGTGGTCATTCAAACAAAGGGAGTAACAATAGCGTACTAAAGCCATTGTTCAGTTTGCCGCCACATTCAAGTTAATGAGTATTGCCGCGCGTTCATAGCAACCAATAAAAAAGCTTCTTTCTGGGCTTCCATGAATAGCAATAAGCGTTATGACAGACCTATGCGTCTTCTTGAACTGTAAGTAAATGTCACAAGAACAATAGCCATTCTACGCTATGTTGTAATCACTAAGGAATAAGGAAAAGAATGCCAGTTTTGGATGAAGCGCTTAAGTTAAGTGCCGCTCTCGCCAAGAGCGCTCCTCTCGACTTCCCGTCGGAAAAAAGTTTTCTTTTATTTTTTGCCCATGAAAAGGGTTTAGGACACATGTTTCAAAGATAGTTTAGTTGTTCTCCAATTTTTTTTTTTTTTGTGTCGCCACAAGCCAAAAAAAATGTTTGGCTAGACCACCCGTGTGGACAGCGATCGAAAGTGTAAATTTCAGAGATTTTGTCCAGCGCGCAGCGACTGCTATAATATAGCTCACGGAATTCTATCTTACTACAAATTACAAGGTGCCTTCATTTAGTTCACAGACAAAATATGGAAACTTCAGCTGAAATATTTTTCATACAAGCGTGATCAGAGGAGAGCCTTCTCTTCGACCGTAATTTGCATATCAAAATTCACCAATTTGAACGAAAGGGCCACAAGCCAAAAATGATTTTTGGCTTGTGGCGACCCAAAAAAGAGAATTGGATAGCAACCAAACTATCTTTGAAACATGTGTCCTTAACCCTTTTCATGGGCAAAAAATAAAAGAAAACGTTTTTCCGACGTGAAGTCGAGAGGAGCGCTCTTAGCGAAAGTGCTTCATCCAAAACTGGCATTCTTTTCTTTATTCCTTGGTGATTACAAAATCTTTTAACGCTTCGTAAACTACAGCCCTTTAGATTCGGATGTCGAGCCTTAAATTCAGTGACGAGCTCCTCGTAAGTATGTTTCTGTTCGATAAGAAACCGCCGGACAAAGTCTTTATCTAAGACGTTTTCTAACACCGCCGGATAAAACGTCTAGGACGAATTTAATTCGTTTTAGACGTCGTGCTCATCGAATTTAATTGCTTGTGGGACCTTGAATTAAATTCGACAGTAGCGCGGCGTATAAACTAGGCCTTAATTTCCTAAATATTCCCGCTTAAACAAAGATTGTCAGTTTCAATGCCATAAACCGAAGACAAAACACAAAAAACGAAACGTAATCCGTTTTCACAATTCCATACGAAAACGAACAACGAAAACCAAAAGAAAATTAAAATCCGTTTTTTTTTTTTGAGCTACAGAAAAAAAAAACGGAGAGCATTAAGTGAATTCGAATTCCGTTTCCTTTCCGACGGGGAAAAATGAAAAACGAATATAAAACTCCAATTTGGTTTTTTTGCTGCGAAGAAAAACGAAAATAAAATTTGAGTTTCATTTTCCTATACAACTGAAAATCAGTTGGCACTAAGGTACACGGATTGAAGTCCAATTTCGTTTCTTTGCTGCAAAGAAAAACGAGAAACGAAAATAAACTTTGTGTTTCATTTTCCTATATAATTGAAAATCGGTTGGCACTAAGGTACACGAATTCACAGTTTCGATCGTCAACAGTGTTGTGTTCTACACATGCATCGCGACTGTAAGTCCTTAAGAGCCTTACAATGCCAAAATCAGTCACCTCATATTCCGGACGCTAGTTTTTTAAACAAGAGAGCGGAATTCTCATCTCGACTTGTCATTCTTAAAACTAATACCTTCATGAGTTGATTAAATGGGTTGTCTATAACGATAAACAGCTTAAATACAAGTGCTCCTGCTTACACTGAGAATGAAACTCACCTTGGCACCCACAGAGTTATTACTTTAGAGCGTAAGGATGAAAAACATCGCCAACTGAGTGAGTCGGGAAAAACGTCCTTATTATGCTTACAAAGCATTCATAAGCAATGAGCTCATGTGTCTGGGAGGGGGGCGGGGGGGCGTCCCAGCACGTACCAAGCGTATTACAAAATGATATCTCTTTGTGTTGAACTGAGACAAAATTTTTCTGCGTATGGTCGTATATTTGATTTTTAGAGGTTCTTGCTGGGAAATGTAGTGCTATTAGCTGTGCGAGAGGCTTTAACAACATCTGGAAAGCAATTCTTAACCTTGGGTGACACATACCGCAGTAGAGGAAGGTCGTTGTCCCCCCTACGCGCCAGAAGGCGTACAGTGGCGTGAGTGAGAAAATTAATTCAGTCCTCAAACACGCGCTTCACCGCTTGGTCTTTCTATTGCAGCTCCATCGCTCAAGAATAATTCAATACCTGAAGCTAATTGGTCTATCAAATTAGCCATCGACACATTGGTCGGCCAACAATTTAGATTGAAATAAAGATCTTCTCGATTATAATGATAAAACGATTAAGGAAAATTGTTCCCTGGGGGCGCTACAGGGGGTCTTCTTGTGAAATTCGTACTGGTTCGTCTTCAGTCGCTCATCGCCATCGGGCCTTTAAAATTCGAGCGTGAATCCAAGTTTTTAACTTTTTAAGCTTTAAGAACTCAAGAAACAGGTGAATTGTTGAAAATGAATGGGCGCAGTGGATAAATTTTCACACGCCTTGCAAATACTGTTTACTTGCCTTCCATATGGCTAGTTTTACATGCATTTTAAATTTTTATGTGCATGTAATCAGTCACCCCGTTTTTCGGAAGCTAGTTTTCAAAATATAGATAAATTACCTCTCCCTAAACGTCAAAAGGGAACTCTCGTCTCAACGTATTATTCTAAAGTTGGTCATTTCTGGACTTAAATTGCATGGGTTTATCATGACGGTCGGCCGTCAAAGGAACGAACGTTTCCCTGGAATTTTCAGAGTTACTTCTAGAGAATCTATGGATGAATTTCATTAATATGGCAAGGCACCCCCTGCGGGAATATGTACAAAATATATCGAGAACCTGGAGAGTCAGATAAAAACACGGTGATTATCTTTTAAAAACACTTGAAGAAAAGTGGTACGTGTCGTTCATATTAATTTTTCAGATGCCGTAGGAGTTAGAGTTGGCGTAATGTTAGCGTAAAGCTTCTACTTAACGCAGCTTTACGCCACATTGACATTATGTAAAGGCAGCTTTACGTAGTCTTCCCGCGCTTTGACGTAAAGCTAGAGTAACGAGACTTCCCTAAGAGGCGTAAAGCTAGTGTAGAGATTAAAGTAGAGATTTACGCCAGCTTTACCTATACGCGTAAATATAAAGGATAAGCGTCTTTAAGCCAAATTTACGCTTGGCATAAAGTCAACTTTGTTCTTGAGTGTAAAGCTTGAGTAATGAGACTTCCTTAAGAGGCGTAAAGCTAGTGTAGAGATTAAAGTAGAGATTAAAGCCAGCTTTACCTATGCGCGTAAATATAGAGGATACGCGTCTTTAAGCCAACTTTACGCTTGGCGTAAAGTCAACTTTGTTCTTGAGTGTAAGGGAGCTGTATAAACTGCTCACATATTGTGAAAACTCAAATCCCACTGGTAAAGAAACTAAACATTCAGCTTTACTTTATATGACTATATGATTATATGATAAAAGCAAAGCTGATTAACTGGTTGCCCACTTTTAAAGTCTGATTAAAAAGTTGTTTGTCAATCCATCAATCAATCAAACTACTGTGTTAACAATCTTGTATATTTGTCATAAAAACGTGCTCTCATCCATGCATGTAAATAATTTAACTTTTGATCATTCCTTAAGGATAACATTTAAGATATTATTTGTTGTTTGTCGTACTTGAATCATTTTTCTGAAATAAAACCGCAGAAAATGAAAACTCGTTCTAATATTATCAATTTATACAATAAATGAGAGGGAAATAAGTTAAAAAATTTTGAAAACATAGTTCTTATATAATTTGAAATATGACAACTTGGAACCAATTGAAAACAATAAAATTACTGAAACACTGAAAATTGAAATTTTGTTCTGACATCAGTAGTCAAGATGCGTGTCATGTACAATTGAAAATTTTGTTCTAATCTTACTTGAAATATTGTCAACAGGAAAAACTAAAACCTTGTTCTAATATTTCTATTTAAAGTAAGCGTAATCACGAAATCATTTTTATAACATTGTTTCAGTATCACTTAACTGCATTAACACTATCATCAGAAATTGAAAATTTGGTTTCATCTTATTACAGAAAAGTTGTGTTGACCGGAAATAACCTTCTGATTAACAACAAGTGAATAAATATGAACGAAACTATTCTAAATGTTTATTATACCGTTCAGACTATTCCACAAAATCTCATAAAATTGATGAACTGTTGAAACAGTTCGCGATCGCCTACGAGCACTGTCCTTTTTTTGGAGTTAGTATGTAGGACGGAGATGCAGTTGAAGGCAGTGCACTCGGGGATGGGGTCGTCACTACTGGATGATGTGTCCCGTGGGGAAGGGGGAAACCAAATATTGTTTTGCGGGTGTCGTTGGACTGATGGGGCAGCTATTGTTGGAGAAGTAGTGCCGGTAGATGGAGTTAGGTTTCGGATAGTAGGGAAATTATTGATGTTGAAAGACGGGTGCCGAGGAATGAGGCGGCCATTGTTGTGGGACTGGTATTTGTCGAAGGATGATGGGCTGGGTGGCGGCCGAGAGTTAAGGGATGGAGTTGTAGTGGGTAACAACTGCCTCTCCAGATGACTGCCCATTCCAGAGCTTCAATGGGCCGGTATCGACTTGATGGCCTTTCATGGGCCTGTCTTGTCACCAGATTTACCCTTGCTCTTGGATGAAGGCTCTTGATGTAAACATCATCAAGGGCTTTCTTGACCTTTGACTGTCTTGACCTTTCCACCGGTGACTTTTTCACAAGATACCTAGTAAGGTGCCTCTCTCCATTTTCATCCTCAGAAAAGTCAGACTCACCCGAGCTAGTGTAGGTTAAGCATCCTACGGCCAGCCCCACCATGGCCTTTTCCTCCTCAGACCAAAGCATGTTTCTAAGGGATGCGAGTCTCTTCTGAATTTTCTAGGCAATCAGAGAAAGAACACAAAAGTCAGCAATTGTACCATCAAAGTAAAGATACACGCACACTTTATATTGAACGTAAATCTGACTCTTCAGCCTTGAGCTACCTTGACGCAAGCTTCACATCTGATGACGTTAATCTACCTCAATGCGCCTGTACAAGCATTATACTTGAAAACTGACTTGCTAATTGAACTTTACGCAGATTTACGAAACTTTAATTTACCGTAAATCTCTTTTTCATAATTGGCTGTCTCATTCGCACTCTCTAGATTCTTGTGTTAATAGAAAGAATTCTTAAGCTCATTTACCCCGTGGGTGGAGCGGTTTTGACTCAGTGTCGTAAAACGACAGCTTAAGTAACCGTAAAGTAACAATCAAATTAAATAGAATCCTAAGAAGTGCACGAAATACACACGGAACAATCGAATGAAAAAAATTCTAGAGTGCGCGAGACACTAACGTAACAATCCAATGAAAGTGAATTCCAAAAGTGTGCGAGAAACTAACGTAACAATGAAATGAAAAAAATCCCAGAATTACACAAGACACTAACGTAACAATCTAGTGAAAGATAGTCCTAAAATGTGCGTGGTACTAACGTAACAATCCAATGAAAGACAGTCCTAAAATGCGCGTGATAATAACATAACTTTTGAATGAAAGATAATAACATAACTTTCGAATGAAAGAGAATCCCAAAAGTGCACGAGATACCAAAGTAACAATGGAATATCACCCTATCCTAAAATATGCGTGATAATTTCGTCACTTTCAAACGAAGGAGTATAAGATGCACGAGATACTAACACAACAATTCAATAAAAGAGAATAGATATTACGTGATAATCCAATGAAAGAAAATCCTTATCTCATACCCTGATCATACTGTGCAACTGAAATTTTACCACCTCCGCGTACCCAGAACGGAAGTTCTGGGTACGAGACTAAGAGAATCCTAGGGTGTGCGTGTTACTAACATAACCAGCCGATGAAAGAGGATCGCATAAGTGCGCAAGATACTAACATAACATTTACTGCTCTTAAAAATAAAAAAAAACAGAAAAACTAAATGTTAATTTTAACTCATAGAAATATATCTTTCTAGTAAATGTCAACCGTCTAAGGCCCTGAAATTTAACTGTCAACCGTCAAAGGCCTTGAAAATGAACAGTCATTGGTTCAAAACCTTTCTTACATGACGCTTGGTGAGGCATATACCACAATAATAGAGTTAGTCATTTAGGATAACCGGGATGCGTGGCGGCTGCGGTGATTTGGCGCGCGTTTGAAGAGAGTGTTGAATATTCCCGCTATTGTCGTTAAATTTATCATGGCTGTTGGTGAGAATTTTTACAACTTCTCAACTTCCTTCTTTCCGTGATGGGTTAAAAGTCACTCAAAAGGTTCTTTGGTTATTTCTACGCCTTGTGTGGCAAGCTTTTGTTTTATGTTGAAGGCTTTGTCTTGATAGCATGGATACAAGCGTGCTTATCGCTACACTAGCTGGCATCACGAGCTTCACCGATTGTAAGTTTTTTTGGGAATTTTTTTTGCAGAAATGATCTATTTTACTGTTCTTTTTTTTCAATTTGTAACATGATAATTCAAGTGGTATATGTGAGTCAAGGGAACGTTGAAAGAAGATGGACGAATGAGTCGGAAATCTCAAATTTTCACTTAATTTCTTTTTAACATGAGGCGCATTATGCCCAGTTAACCCTTTACACCCTAACATCAGTATGCATATTCTCCATACTGCTCTCTATACATTTCTTACGGTGCTGACAAGGAGAATTTCTTTTCCAACCAAGAGGTTCCTCCCTGGTGACCATTTTCTTTCTTCACATGACGTTAATGTGTGATTCAGGAGTAATATTGTTGGGAGAAATTTACATGTTAGTCACTCCAAGGGTTTAAAGGATTAAATACGAAGCAACAGTACACAGGTGTTCGTTTTATATTCACTCTTTACACCTTAACATTAGTATGCATATTCTCTATACTGTTTTCCATACATTCCTTAAGGTGTTGACTTGGAGAATTTGTTTACCAATCAAGAGCTTCCTTAATTAGTTGGTGATCATTTCCTTTATCCTTGTGACCTTATTGTGTGATTCAAGGGTGACTTTGTAAGGAGAAATTAGATGCTAGTCAAAGAGGGGTTGGCTATCAGTTAGAGGACATAGATAGGGTAGTGTGAAAACTGGATTATTTTCATTACTGCGACTTGTTGCATAAGTTCAAAGTTCAAACCAACTAACCTTGTTACCAAGGCTGTTACTTGTGGAAGAGAAAAGGGAAAAGTTACATTAAAAAAATGCAGCATTTTTTTAAATTCCATCTTTTTGTGGAGTGTTAGACAGATAGTCTGAACTTTGTAAAAATTACTTTTAAACTTTTCAAATCCAATTCCCTCATCTTTATTAAACAGCAAACAAAAGGTTTTGACCCATAAAGACAAATGTACATTTGCATGTGGTTGTAGTTTTCACCTTTAATTTTCCTCTTCACATTAGGAAATATGTATGCTGTGGGTGGCTGTGATGAGAGTAACTTCTAACTCAACAGTGTGGAACATTACTACCCATCAACAAACACTTGGTCATTTACAGCACCCATGACCACTTGTTGCAGCAGTCTGTGTGTGTCAAGTTGCCGTGTGCTGTATGTGATTGGTGGAGTGAGCTATGTTGGAATGTTGCTTAACACTAGAGAGTATCTTGACCCCATGACAAGCACATAGAGCAGTGCTTTCAATAAGATTTGAAGAAGGTGGCTACCTTGGTAAAGCACCTGCTGGAGAATAATGTATGAAACAATTTTCCTCTTGTTATTCCATTACTGCCATTTAGAATAAACTGGCTTCAAACAAAGTTTTCGGGGTTCAACTTCCGTAGATGATTATTAAATATTCCTCTCCTTTGTAATAATTGATTACCAGATTGTTTTATTTCTGATCAAAATCTTCCATATGCTGCCATGCAAGCCTGCTCCCTGAGTTTCAAGCAAAAAATCCTCTGTAAGGACATATGGTTACTGGTTACAGAAATTTGAGTTAGTATGTTCTTAGAAACTCATGCTCTTTTTTGCTTGAAATGTATGCTGGAATAGATGAAAAGAAAATATAAATCATTTTTAATCAAAACTTGTTTATAAGGAAAGAAGATCTTTAGGTGCTTAAGATCACACTTTGTGAGTTTCCTCGAAAGTTTCTAAAGTATACTTGACGATTCACAACAGAATACCCATTGGTGCTCCAGCAGGTGCCAGGTCTTATTGAAAGCACTGATGGAGGGCAATTGCCCTTATACATTACAAGCAAGCGAGTGCATCAGGAGCAGCAACAAATGGGAAGATCTATGTCATTGGTAAGCTATGTTTACTTAGTGTCTGCATGTGCAGCTCTTGGTCAGCTGTTAACCCATTTAATCCCTTAGAGTAATAGGAATCTAATTTCTCCAATAGTATTACCCATAAATCGAATGGTAAGGTTATAAGAATGAAGGAAATCATCACAAACTCAGGAAGCTCTTGATTGTTAGACAAGTTCTCCCCATAAGTACCACAGGAAATGTATAAAAATGGTGTGGAAAACTTGCATACTGGTGTTAGGATGTGAGGGGTTAGGATTAAAGTATTGTGAGATGTCATTTAAAAATTTATGCAATTCAATGTGATTTCATTTCAATTTTTTAAGGTGGCTGGGATGGTTCTGTTCATCTAAACAGTGGTGAGGTGTATGACCCTGATATAGACCGGTGGTCCATGATTGAACCTGCTAGCACTGCCAGATGGGATGGTGGGATAGCTGTAGAGAGTGACAAAATCTACTTTGTTGGGGGATGTAACAGGAATGCATTTTGCACTTTGGAAATAGAGTGCTATGACCCTGAGAAAGACAATTGGAGTAAGGTAGCATCCCTGCCAGTTGTGATGCATGGAATTCGGTGTTGTACCATTCAGCTTCCGCACAAGGCATGCACAGAAGTAGATATACATGAAGGATATGATATATTCATTGAGGTGAATTGTTATCTCAGCAATGACAATTAGATTGGCCGGCAGAAAATGAATAATTTTGTTGTATAATCAGGTAAGGGTAGGCAAGTGATTGTTATGTGCTAGAGAAGGGGCCCCTTCACTTTTCTCCTCGCTGTCCCTGTCCCTGAAAAGCTGGATATGCCCTTGATAACTGTGTAAGAGAATAATTTTTTCATTTAATTTCCAATTGAGAAAAAAAGAAGTAATGCAGATAGTTTTATGAAGGCAGCCCTGGTAAAAATTTAAGCATACTGAGCTTTTTCCAATGGTGAGCAGCAAATTTTAAGTGCTGACACATAAGAAATTAAGGCTCTATAAGATCCTTTAATTTTTTTATTCCTCACTTATTTTTAAAACTTCCTTTACCCCAAACAGTTTATTTCAATTGAAAAGTTAGAGAAAACTCAATGTTGTATTTAGGGTGGGAGGCAAGGGTGGTAGGGGGAGGGGAAAATTCCACCTTAACCAGATAAGAAAAAGAAATGGGAGTTAACCCGTTAACTCTCATAAGTGACCAAGACAGAATTTCTCCTACGATATCAATACAATATCAAGCAGACAAGTGATGAGAATAAAGAAAAATTTTCATTAGGGAATTATTAGTTTGATCCAATACTAAATTCTCCAAACTAACATCACAAGAACTATATGGCAGACAGTAAGGAGAATTGCTGATGAGATCGTTAAGACTTTTACTACTCAGTGTTGTCTGTGAAGTTCATAATTTTTGGAAAAATAGAATTGAAAAAAAACCATGGAATTTCACTGTTTGTTAAATTATGCATTATTTGATGAATCCATTCGATATTACTTACTTTTAAAAGATACACGTATACCACTAAGTACCTCTCCTGTATAGCTACTTTTTGATATTTTCCACATCTCAGCAGGTTGTTAATATTGTTCAAAGATATAATTTAATAGGAGTTAAATTAGATGATGAGTTTAAGTGATAATCCAGTCAAAATAAAAAATTGAAAAATAAGTGGGTTCCAAGTTCACCATTCGTGATTTAACTTACAATATGCCATCAAGTAAAGTCTGTACCCGAGCCTGTTGGCCCACCAGGCCGGAGTTAATCCTGGTTTCCACGTAGCATGTTTGGTGGATGGTTAGAAGAGGCCCGGTGGTCTGTAGTTTAGCTCCAAAACTATCGGTCTTCTCCCTCGAAACGATGTACCTCAGAACGCATATTTTTCACCGAGTGTTTCCTATTTTTTGAGTGAAATTAAAGAAGTGCGACAGCGTGATCCACCAATTTTATTTTAGATGACATAGTGTTTACTGTAAGTCCTGTGACCTGCATAAAAAGTCATTCCAGCAGTTTTGTTTTTTCTTCTTTTTCGTTCTTCTTGAGGCAAAAATATGTAACTTGGTTGACGACAAACAGCACTAATAGTACAGCTTCACCCAAAGCAAACAGCCGGAATGCCTCTACGGCGCCAAATGCATCGATGAAAAAGCCGCACAAGGCAGTTCCAACGCCGAAACCCACGCCGAGAAACAAAGAGTTAACCCCTCCTACGAAGATAAAGAAATGCTATTAGTGTCAGTTCAAAAATAAACTGCGTAGGGCCAAACATTATTTATTAGCCGGCTAATTTGTATAACATTTTTTTCCGGCGCGAAGCTCGTCGGGGTAACAGAGGTTTCTGGGATTTTCAGGGGGGACAGAGAGGGGAACAATCGTCGCCAACAAAGTATGAAATTTGGCTTTCTTTTTCGCAGAAAAAAGAGTGTAAAGACAAAGTCTCTGGGGTTTTAACTTATTCGTTTACAAGCCCCTGCTCCCCTTTCTGAACAAGACCATGGGGACCTGGTAACGAGAGGGAATCCTCTTTTGTTCTCACCTTGCACTGTGTCCATCAGATGATTGGGTGTTACTTCACCAAAGTAACCGATCACGCCTGTAAAACCAGTTACATAAGCGGTGTAGGAAATAGTCTCAAAAAGAAGCATGAGCCATGGGTTTTTCATGAGAGACATTCCCTCAGACCAAATGAAAAACAGCATCATGGAGAACACAGTGATTCCAGAGTAACCAGTCTTCTTCACACACGTGCTTGTGAAGCCCAGGAACACCACACTAACCGCAGAGCTAGTCATCCGTGAGAAACCAAACACCAGCGTGGCGATGGTAACGTCTAAGGTCTTGGTGTACCAGAACCCATACGTTGCCACAACTCCATCAAAACAGCCAATCAAGAACGTCATGACAATGAAGACGAAATTTTGATATCGAGAGAAGAACTCAAATAAAGTCAAAGGCTTTCCGTTGCCATTTCCTTCGGTGTTGTCGCTGTGCTTGATCGTTTGATCTCCCAGCTGCGTTACAGATACTAACGAAGCCATAGCCATGATAGAAGTGACAGCGAAGATAACAGCAAAGTTGTCTTGATACTCGCCACAAATCACATAATGGTAATGAGTGACAAATACAGTTGTGGTGGGAACAACAATAATGTGCCCAATTGGGCCCCAGAGACGGATCTTGCCAAAATCGCGGCTATTTTCCCCAAGGTAGTCCACAATTTCAGAATTAGCCAAACCAAATGCAGGAGAAGCGAGGAGTTCCCCAACGAATACAATGAACAAAAATATGAGAAATATGGTGTCGATGTCTTGCGGGTTTTTTTCTAAGATAAGGACATGATCGCCAACCAGAGGTGCCTGCCTTGGAGTGCGCCTCTTTATCGGTGGTAGAGAACGTCTTGAGGTAGACTGTTCCAGGATTTCAGGTTTTTTTTCCTCCCGACGGAAAAGGGATTGCAAAGCGTGGGTTTGGTTACGGTGATTCGTATTCTTGTTCGCTTTACTCTCGACATGAGACTTGATCCACTCGTCGTTAGGATGGGGGGAATTTTTGCCCTCTTGAGGAGTGATAATGCGACGTTTGTTTTCATCCAGGTTCTTTCCCAATTCCACTGAGCACTCATCGTGTGTTCTTCTTGGAATTAATGACACCAGTGGTATAATAGCCGTGGACAGAATGCTCATCATCAGCAACGCACGGCGAATCTTCCGCTTACTTGCCATTTTTCCAAAGATGACCCCGCCGAGGGAGTATGCCACGCCCCAAACGGCTCGTAAGATGCCGATCTGAGTCGGAGACAAGCCAAGCTGTTGCCAGTAGACTGGCATAAAGAATAACTTAAAGGTAAAGCATGTCTCGAAGAAGAAGTAAAACGAACTTAATGCAATCCTAGTTCTGTGCTGCGAACAAAATTCCGAGATGCAAATTGACTTTTTCCCGGGTTCTTGTGAAGGAGTACTTGACATTTTTCTTTCTCTCTTTGCTAAATGCCTGAGACAAAGTAAAAACAAACAAAGAAGAAGCTTAAACAATGCTTCTCAACGTTGAAGCAGATGGCCATTCTGTGACTGAGTTGTAATTTGGAGAGGTCAATCAACAGTTATTTTCGTACATTTCGATTATGTAAAACAGCTTATATATAGTGCAAACGGTATATGAAAACTATGTTAACATGTACATTGAGTATAATTAATAACAGGTTAAAACCCTTAAAATATGTTCAGTTATTTCCCATGTGTTTAATAACGTTAAGGTGTGACGGAAATCTATTTTGTTATTACCGAGTTTAAGTAAAAGACCGGGTTGAATTTGTCTGAGTTATTAGCCGCTTTTTCCTTTTTCCTTTCATGTCAATACCGTGGCCTCTGACCACTTCTAAGAACGAACGCTTTACGAGGTGTAAAAGCAGAGAATGGGTAGCAAATGGGTTATCAAAATAAGACGAAAATTCCCCTAACAAGTTAGCTGGTTTGAGGAATTTTCGAACACTCCTTGTTCAGTTGATACTTTCTTTATTTCCTTTCTTAAAACTCAATACAACGTGCTAGCTCGGGTGTTGGAAACTGTACGATACGTTAATTATTCTTAATTTGATTGACATTTATAAGTGATTTCGTTTATTTATACATAACCAAACAACATGTATGCGGCACGTGTTTATCGCCCCATATATGGCACTGTTCCACGTGTTTGCAACGAGACGTTGAGGGTGTGTTTCCTTCGAGTGGGAGTAAACCGAAGCGTTGTAGTAAAATCGTTAAATCAAGTGAATAAATCGTGAGTTAATAAGGAAGCGTGGTACAGCTTTTCACGTTTTCGATACGAGGTCTAACTCATCTCTCTAGGAAAGTGTTGGTCTACAGCTTATAAAGGTGACAGTTATAACTACCTGTCAATATTTGACCAACATCACTATTTCTCACTTAATTAGCCTGCGAATCATGTCGAATTACGTGAAACAGTTTACTAAGTATGTACCTTCGGTTTCTTGATTCGACTTTCTGCCTAAAATTTCATACTTTTGCGGGTAACATCGGCCAAAACAAAAACAAGATTGATAATATAAAAACTATAAAGGACCCACTGCGTAGATTAGAATAACACTTAAAAAGATAACTTAAGAGAAAATAGCCCTTGAAGTTTGTTACATAACAACAGAATATACGGAGAATTCGAGAAAGAACGGCTTATCCAAGGTTCCGCCCCCAAAAGAACAACCATCTGTTCATATAATTCAACTGATCATAAATTCAGTGCAAAAGATCAAAAGAATAAGTTGTGTACACCTTTAATCACCTTACAGAAAGAGGTGTTAAACGTGCTAAATTAAGAACTATTTTCTTGATCGGAAGTTCGACATGAAATTAATCTAAAAATGAGCCTTCATTTCATGCAGTTCATGTTGAATTCGTGATAGGTGAACAAGCAAGGGCCAATTCGACAAAAACAACAAAACTATACCCCAGCAAATGTTTTACTATAATGTGTCAGAAAAAAGTAAATTCCTACAAAGCGAAAAAATAACAATTACTACACAGACATACTACCTGAAAGCCACTGCAAAAGAAATTAAAGAAAACGATGAAAATAAAGCTGCTTACCAAATACAGAAGATAACTAGGGTTAGCGATTGGGAAGACCGAGAAAAGGAAAAATCTACTTCTACGAACACTAATTACGGATAGGCACAAAAAACTCTGGTAAAAAGAAAGGGGCGAGACAACAAACTAGATGACTAAATTTACATACAGCACGTAACAAAAGGGCGTAATGAACAAAATACCGAAGAGCAAAAAAAAAGTACACGATAAATGGAAAAATCTGTCTCGACAATAGGAGAATATGCCATAATCATAATAATATTTATAATCGCTAACAGCTTCATATAAACTTTTGTGAAGGATCTTATGCTGTGAATATACATCAAACGTCCCTGTAGAACTGAGTTCGACACGTATTTGATTTTGTTGTTGAAATTCGTCAACTCGTCAGAATTTGGCAAAAAACACAGTATGAAAAAACGGTGGTCACAGGCCCTACTGTCACTCTGATCTTCAAAAACAGTGCTGTTATGTTCTATAGTTCTATACATGCATCGCAACTGTAAGTCATCAAGACCCTTGCAATACTTAAATCAGTCACCTCATACTCCGGACGCTAGTTTTTCAAACAAGAGATATAACGTCTCCTTGACCAACATAAGGGGAATTCTCATCTCAACCCGTTATTCTTAAAACTAATAACTTCATGACTCGATGGGTCGTCTATAACGGTAAACAGCATAAATATAAGGGCTCCTGCCTACAATAAGAATGAAACTCACCTTGGCACCCACAGAGTAATTACTTTAGAGGGTAAGGATGAAAAACGGCTCTAACTAAGTGAGTCGGGCAAAAACGTCCTTATCATGCTTACAAAGCATTTAAAAGAAAGTGGTACGTGTACGTCGTATCACATTAAATTTTGAAACGCCTCAGGAGGTTTGTTGCTATATAGAAGCAATGAGCCTATTTTTTTTTTGAGGGGACGTCCCAGCGTGTACCAAGCGCGTTACAAAATGATATCTCTTTGTGTTGAACTCAGAGGAAATTTACCGCGTATTGTCGTATTTAATTTTTGGAGGCTCTTGCTGGAAATTTTGGTGCCATTAGCTGTGCGAGAGGCATAAACAACAACTAAAAATCAATTCTTAACCTGGGCTGACACATATAGCAGTAGAGGAAGTTTGTTGCCTCGCCACGCGCCAGAGGGCGTACAGGGGTGTGAGTGAGAAAATGAATTCAGTTCTCAAACACACACTTTACCGCTTAGTCTTTTTATTGCAGCTCCATCGCTCAAGAATCTTTCAATACTTGAGGCTAGTTGGTCTAATCCCTTGGCGTGCTTTAGGAGGTCATCGTATCAAATTCGCACTTGTTCGTCTTGCGTCGCAAATCGCCCTCGGGCCTTAAACTGAAAATTCGAGCGTGAATCCAAGTTTTTAACTTTTTAAGCTTCAAGAACTCAAGAAATAGATGAAAAACAGGTGAAAATGATGAGTGTAGTGGATAAATTTTCACATGCCTTGCAAATACTGTTTACATGCCCTCCACATGGCTAGTGTTACATGCATATTAAATTTTGATGTGCATGTAATCAGTCACCCCGTTTTCCGGAAGATAGTTTTCAAAATATGAATAAATCACCTCTCCGTAAACGACAAAAGGGGGACTCTGATCTCAACGGATTATTCTAGAATTGGTCACTTCTGGACTTTAAATACATGGGTCTTTTAAAACGGGCTTGCAGAACTAAACTTCGTTGGAATTTTCAAAGTTAGTTTTACAGAATCTATGGATGAATTTATTGTTATTTACAAGGCACGCCGGGGATATGTACAGAACATATCGAGAATTTGGAGGGTCAGACAAAAACGCGGTGATTATCGTTACAAAACATCTAAAGGAAAGTGGTACGTGTCGTTCATATCAGTTTTTCAAATGCCCTGGGGTTTATTTTTTGGATATGGCATTTAGCATATTCAAGTTTTAGCAACAGCTGGTATGCATTAAGCGTACTACACTTTTAATGCAGTAAATTGTTGTCAATTTGATCAGGTTGTCAAATGATTTCTAGAGCAATTTGGCACAAATATGCACGAGTAACTCTTTCAAAGACCAACAAAATTGCACAGACCCAAAGGGCAAGTGAAATTTATGGCCGAAAGAAAGTTTAAAGTCTGGTGAAACAGTTTTTGCTGTCCTTTTCCTCTAAACTACTCTTTTCTTTACTGGAATACCTCTCTCTTACATTGTATTACTTGAAAACTGGATTTCTCTCAGCTAATCAGAGTGAAGACATTTTCAAGCTTACTATTACATTCCAAATGATTGTCTCCGCAAGAGAAGAAATATGGTCGGCAATTAGCAATAATAAGTAATAGTAAGCAATAGAATAATTGTTAGAATGAAGTGTCTGTAGCCAAGTATACAGTTTATGTCCTTAATTGTATTCCCTTCGATTTCCTCAGTGTTACGTTTGTTTTTAGATTCGTTGACAGCCTGATGTTGAAAGCGTGACGGCAACGGTCCGGCAACGCACCTTTAGTTTTGAGGGTACGGGTCCCTGGTAGACCAAAATTGCCCGTGTACTTAATTAGCAAACAGCCATTTAGGGCTATAGTCTGTTTCGTTTTAATCTGTGCTCCCCATAACCTTCCGGTGGCTCTCATTTTCGCGGTTCTCTCTCTCTCTCACTGTGTTTCAATTTACATCAGCTACTATATTCACTTATTCAAGTACTCTTGTTGCGATTGAATTTTCGTCCCAATTTTTGTGCCTTATCACGTTGAAATTAGTCTTTCCCCGTTTTGACCAGCAATTGCGCTCGCTCCTGTATTCTCGTAAAAAGTCTTCTCTTTGAGTTTGCTTGGTTTGTCACAGTTTCTTTCTAGAAAACTTGCAATTTAAACTTACGGCTGAGTGTTTTGTCCACGTTAAATAAAGTTATCTCTATATTTCTATCTTTTCGACGCTTTGCCATTCGCTTTTCTCGTTTCATTTTTTCATTCGACATGTCTTCCTCGTCGTTTCTATCTGGGCCTCTTTTTTTCTCTTCCGTTTGCAAAGCATATAAAAAAGATTTAGGTTGGCGTAATGTTAGCCTAAAGCTGTTACAAATTCTGCTTTACTTCATATTTACATTGTGTAAAGGCAAAGCTTTACGCAGTTTTTACGCCATGACGTAAAGCTAGAGTGATAAGACTTCCTTAAGAGGCGCACAGGTAGTGTAAAGTAGAGATTTACGCCAGCTTTACCTATACACATAAATATAGAGTATAAGCGTCGTC